TAAAAATACAATTTAGTATAATTTAAATTAAAGTTATTTTATTTGTATATAGTTTGCCATAACGTCTCCTAGTCGCGCTTCAAACGCACCGTAACCACGTGACCCTCCTGGTTGATGTCGCTGGCAATTTGTTTTGTACCGTGTTTTGGCCCAAGTTTCGCTACCATCTGTACATATACCTTGGTTTGCCTGCGAGTGAATGCCTCAGCGTGCTTCGTTTTTGTTGTTGTGCTTGACTTGTTTCGTGGTTGGGTGAGATTTTTGTTGCGCGGTTGGGTGCCACAACCACCGGGCAGCACATGCGAGCCAAGACATGACAGTCCACGCTTTTCCGCGAGACGTGCTGTGACGAGCAAAATGGATCGTCGCCGTGTGTAGGCATGTGGGTTCCCGTCGAGATCGAGATCCCGCTTATGCAGCAATCATCTCACAGAAGGGAGCTACGAGCTGAGCTCTAGGCAGACAGAAGGCTCGTAAGCTGAGGTGTGATGCTGTGCCGACGATATTAAACTACGTCCACCCAGTCCTCGCCCAAATCGGATCAGTCAATTTGGGACAACTTTTGTTGGCAATGCAGTGGAAGGTACAGGCCCGCGTTTCCTCTCCCATTTTGAGTGTGCGCGGGCTCTCCTCCTCTCCCCGGAAATGGGGGAGGAGGAGAGCCTGCGTACACTCAAAATGGGAGAGGGGACGCGGGCCTGTACCTTCCACTGCATTGCCAAGAAAAGTTGTCGCGGAGTATAGTTCAGCAGTGCAGGAACTGGTGCATTCGATTCAACCGGCAGTTGCACGACTGCTGCACTGGCGCGTTCGATTCATCCCAGTTCTGAACGAGTTCTGGTCTCAGACCCAGTTTCTCAAAATCTTGCACCGGCTCCGCTGTTCAGCGTCCGTGCAGAAGCACACAAGAGCAGACGGCGATAGCAGACGACACTCCTCGTCCGTCTCTGCTCGCGGTGCCATTTTTCGCAGCTCTTGCTCAAATGTCTGCGATGTTTAACAATAACGCCGATACGGAGGTTGCATTTCCTCTCATTTATGATAATAACGTACCCGCGATGGACGCGGAATTAAGATCATAACCGAGGGTAGGAGTTTGCTTGATTATGATATTCTGAAAGCGTTTTAGGCACCTGCTCGCGTAGGTTTGGCTCCATGTGTTGAGTGTTGAAATATTGGCTCACGTAAATGTTTTCTTTTTGATGCTATGTGGGGATCCACAGTGTTGATATTCTTACTTACAGACACGAGAAAGGTATTGCCCTCTTGATAGTCCCCGCCTTCAGTTGCTCTTGGATGCATACTGACGACTCCGATACATTGCAGAGGTCTTGGATTTAGTGCATTGGCACTCGCATGTCTCCGTAGCTGAGCATAATACTGCATGCTTTGTCCACTGGTATCTGTGGACGCCCACTAACGGGCCTGGGAAAAACGCCAAGAATCGGCATTTTTGCCGATTCTCGCTTCAAGTTGACGCCAAAGTTATGGTCGATAACTGTCTTGGCCAAGACTATCGTCAGGCCTTCATCTTCGAGGTGACCGGTATACCGACCGCGCGCTGTCGCCAGTGACTCCCGACGCAAAATCATCCTGATGCCGCGAACCTATCGTCGAAATACAAAGATTCCCTTTGAGGGGCATTTCCCGCTACGTTCTTGACTTGTAACCGACTATCGTTCAGCCTGGCCGAATCGAACAGACCTTGATTATGCAGCGAAACCGAAACCAACAGCTAGGCCATCTCGAAATGATACCAGAAGTTGTATTTAGCACGCGTGCAGTCCGATATCTGTTTGACCCGCGTGGGAAAATGAAGCGTGACTACGATTCACCAAGTTCGCCCAAGTCAAGTGACGACATGCATTTGAGCGGTTCGCCGTTTGCCATCGACTCGCGGACATCGCAGGGATTGACCCGCAGCCTCATCACCGATCCAGTGGATCCGCCGAAATGTGTACCCAGCTGCCGCTTCGTGTATAGGTGCCGCTTCAGAGGCGAAATCTGCATCCTGTGCTTTGCAAGCGCCCCTAGTTTGATCGGCGTCCTTCGCAGTTGTGTTTGCACGAAACGGCATACGTTTGCTCGAAGCTTATGGCTGTCTGCGAGTAATATCCTGCTACAAGGCGTGACTTTTTTTTTTGCACGTGCTTGGGAACTGCATTAAAATAACCGTATTTCAGTAGGGTACTGCCTAGGAGACTATATAATTCGCAACAAAATACAAGACGTCCGTCGACCAACGCTTGTTATCCCGACCATCCGACAAAATCTTTGCGTTTTGTGACGTCACGCAGCACCTACGGGTGTCAGCCATTGACACTGGCGGAATTCGGGGTGCAGTTTCGTACATAGGCTCATGAAAGGTTTAATTAATAACGAGAGATCATATATCAAAATAAAAATGACGTTTGTCTATATGAAGGCTCCCTCGACGTAACGAGCGCAAGTACTTCCGGTTTCAACCGGACAATCCCTTTAACCCCTTCATTTCGAGCATGAACACTCCATTTTTACTTGGTTCGTGCTGTCCCTTCATAGGGACACCATGAAACAGTGCATATCAATGTTCTACGCTCACCTTCAAGTTTGGCTACACTGCAAAGCCTATACAGTTGCAAAAAAAAAAAAAAAAGAAAAAACAGGCTCAAAGGGCAAACACAGAAATGACAAGGGCATCGTTGTGTCAAGCCAACACCAGACATTGTACCAGCTATCAGGGTATGCTATTCTGCGAGGCGCTCTCTGTGACACCAGAAAAATCGAGACACATACCGTATTTCCGGTCTATAAGTCGCACCTTTGTATAAAAGTGGTCGTTTTCATGAAAAAAGTACAGGTCGCACCTTTGTATAAGTCACACTTTTTGTACAGTCGGTGCGGCATTCCTAATCCCGTGTCACCTGTATTGTGATCGCGACACATACGGAAGCGGGAGCCGATTTCGCCAATGAATCAAACGAGAAAAATAACTGGCGCGACAAACGCGGTTCGATACGCCGGCGCTCGCGTCTACAAGCCACCGATATTGCCGGACGCGGATAATGAGGGAAAGCCGACCCTCGGTAACCGAAGGCTACCCCGGACGGATTCAGACCTGTTACGATGAAGCAAACAATAAATATACTATCGAAAATAAGACGCGAGTAGATGCATGTTAAAAAAATTAAGAACAGACCCACCTGTGGTCGAACTATGCGATGTCAACTGAGCTCCAGCCTATTGTATCCATTCCGTTCATTACGGTGAAACAAAACCATCAAAGTCCTCTTCCTCCGCGTCGGTAAGGAATAGTTCAGCGATCTCGGGGTCTAGCATCGTTGGTGTGTCTTCAGCGTCGTCCTTAGACTCACTGCTGATGCTTGCTTCGTCGGCGTCGCTCCCAGGCACAGACTCAATGAGGCCGGCTTTCTTGAAGCCGGCTACCACCGTGCCCACCCATTTGGCCACCTCGCCAAAAGACGCGTGTCTCATGCGTCCCGTTTTGGTGAAGCTATGGTCTTCGTCGGTAATCCACGTCTCCCATATACGTCTCAGAACAGCTTTGAAACTGCGGTTGACGGAAATGTCCAGTGGCTGAAGCATCTTGGTCATACCGCCTGGGATTATCGTTGGAACGCAGCTTTTGGATTTGATCTTTTTCTTAATCAAATCGGTTAAATAGGCCATGCTGTCCATTACCAAAAGGCCCTTGTGTGTGTGAAAAAATCCACCAGGTCGCTGGGAAAAGCATCTATCTAGCCACACACCCATCATTTTTTCATCCATCCACCCTTTGATGTTGCACTGTACGATGACTGGGCGGAAACGGATCCTTTGGCACTGTTCTTCTTTTGAATATTAGCATTGGCGGGAGTTTCGTCCCGTCGGCGCAGCAAGCCAGTACCACAGTAAAATGGGACTTCTCACGGCCGGTCGTCCGGACCGTAACGGTCTTCTCGCCTTTTTCGTTCACGCTCCTTCCCATAGGGATGTCAAATGTCAATGGAACTTCATCCATGTTCACAATGTTGCAAGCAGCTACATCGTGCTCCTGAATTTCCTTCAGCACAAATTCCCGAAAGCTGTCGAGCTTCTGCTGAAAATCATCCAGCAGTTCTTGGCACATTGTTGCTGGGGCCTTGATGGATAGGTGGTTGCGTCTCATGAAACGAAAACACCAAGACGGGCCGCCTGTAAAGTTGACCACGTTCATGTCTTTCGCAACTGTCACGGCTTTTAGGCGCACTTGCACTGTCGAAAGTCCTCGGCCTTCAGCTCGCTTTCCAATATCCACATACGAAGACAATCCTCAAGCTGCAGCCAGCGCACCTTTTTACCATGATGAGCTTTCTTGGTTCCTTTCATTGAATGCAGCAAGTTCCCAGCTTTCCGCCAGTCCCCGACGATTTTTTTACTCACATTGAATTCTTGCCCGGCAGCCTGGTTTCCATCTTCGGTGGTGTATGCAACAACGCTAAGCTTGAACTTTGCTGTGTAGCTTTATCACGTCCTGGACGGTGCTCGACACAGGTGAAAACACAGTAGGCACGTTCCGGGATGGCAGGGCACAAAGAAAAAAAACAGATATGGCGACTGGAAGTTGACGCCGGAAACGCCGGGACGCCAGGAACTGCGTGGCCCCCAATGGTGGCTGCACTCCCTCCGAACCCGTGCGAACTCCGAAACGCTTGGCCTGCCGGAACTGAGAAAAGTTGTACGTCGAGGGTAGCGTTTCCTGATCCTTTTTGTTTAAAAAGAGTCGCGCGTCAGCACTTGAGATGCAAGAGATTCCACCGCCGATGTCGGAGGAATCTCGTCCGTCGACGTCCATTGTCGACGTCGACGGACGAGATGCACGAGATTGCATTGTCGACGCATATAAGTCGCACCACTGTATAAAACGCACCGCCAGAAATTTTTGAAAAAAAACCGCGACTTACTCCAGAAAATACGGTAATGGAAATACCCAAATAGCAAGAGCGTTGTTGTGTCACACCAAAATCAGACATTACACCAGCTATTTAAAGAACTTAGTTTTAATCATCTTAACGTCGGTATGTACAGAGCACAGCCTTTGACCCAGGGGCTGCTGTCAGTGTATTTGTGACTTCTAACTGCCTAGAAATCAAGTGGTCGATATAAAAAGCAGAGGCTCCTGACCCAGCCACTCAAAGTAAAGCCCAAGAATTGTGTTTGTGTGCCTGCATACCCCCTGCCACTCATCACAAGCTTACTTCTCAGTTCTCACTGTGTGTAGAGGTCTGAATGAACTAAAAATAATCATGGCATAGATACAAAAAAGGAAATAGGAGGGAAGGGAGGCTAGAATTATTTATCAAACACAACAAGGTAAGTATGTTTCTGTGGCATATAAATTAAAACTGCATCATCCTTCCTGTGCCAAGGTTAAACAAATGGACCTCACTGAGGCTGTTGTGTAGAAGCTATGCCAGTGCTAGTTGCGTGTGAATGTCCGGCCCCTGCAATAGAGATAAAGGAAGAGGACATGAAATAGGGAAGACATTTGATTTATGCTGGGAATGATAGGTTCATGTACAACAAAGACTGATGTCACCAGAAGCCTTACCAAATGCTGGGCAGGCAACACGCTGTATAAATTGTTAAGAATTTTTTTGCATGTCCTCAAAATGTGCACTCAAGTATTGCATGAGAACCTAGTTGAGCGATAAACATTTTTAGACGAATTGCAGGAATCACAAGAAACAGTGGCCAGAGAAATTATGATATGACGATGTCATGCATGCTCATCGCTATTAGTTGAACATGTTTGTTGTAGGTATGTCACCTGGGTCACCCTTAGAATCAGCGCACCCCAGGTGACATTTTTTCTATCATTATCTAAACGATACCAAATGTCCCAAGTCAAGAACTCGTGTCATTTCAGGAACCAATGACTTGGGATTCCCAATTATAAAACTGCTTGGTCCAATCTGATCTTCCTTTATTTCACTATGTGTACGAAGACTGCACAACTTTGAAGAGTGATACTCATAAGGCCATTTTTTTCTTCTCGTCATTCACTTTTCCATTTTCGGAGGAGTAAGCACCATTGGTGATGCGGAGAATGTGCTCGGTGCTAGCCAGTTACGGTTTCATAAATGGTAGGCTTGCCTCTCATCACACATTTATTGGGTCTGCTGTTTGTTTGACATTAAGCTTTTGGCCGATTTCTCCACTGCAACACTAGGACTGCAGAGCCTAGGATGCCCTACTATACTCCCTTCCACAATAACTTGGCGAACTGTGGAGGATGCGGCTCCCGCGACCCGATAAGTGCGTCGGAGAAAGGCACGTGATAACACTCCATGGCCGAGACAACCGGGGCCTCGTTACCGCCACAGCAACAGAGCCCTCCACGACAAAAAGTAGTCCTAAACTTCTTTTTCATCTAATAATTGAACTCGCATAATTCCATCTATAACGAAAAGATATGAAAAATAAAGATTAAATAATCCCAAATTTATGAGTTTCAATTATATATACAGTAAAACCTCGTTATAACAAAATGGGATATAACAAACTGATGGATGTAACAAAGCAATCATAATTCCCCTTGCTTGCTAATAGTGGGAAGAAATGGACATTGGCTATAACAAACTAATGGTTATAACGAAATAATTACGACCGCTCCTTCAACTTTGTTATAACGAGGTTTTACTGTAAACCAAAAAAGTGACACCACATCCGTATCCGCTCGATTTTTTTCGCTTTCTAGCATCGTGGCTGTTGGCAATCGCCAGCGATCGCAGCCGTGTAATCGGCAGTTTCTGCTCAAAACATTGCACTGTGCCCTGGCATTAGCACCCATCACAGATATGCAGCTAAATTGAGCATCTGGTTGTCTCATGAACTGTTCCCGAAGTGCTCGCTATTCTAGCGGACGGACATGTAGCTGTGGTGGATGTCCATCCAAAGTTAGTTGGTTTCGGAGCAGATGACTCTTGACTAGCAGACAACAGCCGTTGTTGGGTGTTGTCTGCTAATGACAAAAATGCTCCGAGACATCGGGTCACTTGCCTTGCTCCAACGCTCTTATTGGGTCGCAGGGCCCTAGCCTCTACAGTTCGCCAAGTTATCGTGAAACAGAGTATAATGATGGGTGCCATCTTGCTTCAAAAGTCATTGACGTGACGTGAGTGACTTTTGCAAAAGCGGTTGGGAGGAGTGAGTCCCAAAGCAATTGGCAAAAATGCGGCTCAACCAAGTGATCCCAGCCGCTTTGCAGATGAAAATGTTCAGATCCTGTGGTTGTGGAACCACTTCTAGTGTGAATTTGCCATAAGACATTTTTTGGCTCTCAATTTACAACTGCCGAGACAATAATATGAACTTGTAGCACATTTTAATCCTTGCCACCAAGCCAGCAGCGAACCTCTGTACCACTTGTATTGTTTCATAAAAAAAAATAAGGTTAATCTCTTTTGATTGACATATTATAATATCAAAATTTATACCGCATGAAAAAAAACAAAACAGTCATGTCTCACATAAACCTCAACCGTATGAAACTAAGAAAAAGGCACTGAACTCACGTGATTGTCTTTTTCTCTACGGATTTCAGTTCGGGTCGAGCCCGGTTGAGCACCTTCAGGAAGTCCGAGGTCTTGGCTCGCATCCGAGAGTGGATGTATGCCTGAAAGCATGACGTATGCCAGATGTGAGAAATTAACATTAAACTGCTGTTTCACACCCAACTTTGAGAGAAGAGACAAGAAATGCTGGTTGCTCAACCGTAATTCCTTCTCAAAAGCCCACAAACCGAGACTTGCACCTCAAGATCCCAAGCACACCAAGCCACATGCTACTACAATGCTTTCCCCGACACAGATGCCCCACCACAAAAGAAGGCCATGTTGACCAGTGTAGTGATCAGTTGAACGTTGACAGGGACTGAAGAAGTTTGATACGGTTGGTGTGTACAATCTGTGGACCACGATCGGGTGAAGGGGCGATCGATGATTGAGCAAAAGCATGGTCAGTTCAACGACATAGTTAACAGAAGTCTGCCAGACAATTCAGCATGGCCCCTTCTTTATTGGAAATTTTTCACACAATCCAACTTGGCAGAGCGAGGTACGTACGGGGACAAGTCACTGCACCAGAAGGAAGTGTCTCTGTGGTGGGCGTCGCAACGAAGTTTAGAGGCTGTTGGTGCGCCGCGGTACGGGCACGCTAATCGTCGGAAAGCTTCCAAAAGTGCTGCGTGTTCAGCCACGTTGGCATCCTCATCATATTCATTAGGAGAGGGAACAATGGTGTCCAAGGTGGAAAATGCACGATAGAGGAGGGTCATCCAACGTCCTTGGCATTGCAGGTGCATATTGGAAGCGTGTGTGTGACGAGACAGTGTGGCGCCACAGTGTGGCTCCCAGCAGAAGCGTTTGCAAAAACATTGTGCGTAGCAGTCGAGCTTAGTTTCTAATCAATGTCGGCTTACCCGAGCACACGTTACAAAACGTCCGGAGTCACAGTTGGCGCAAACTTCTTTTACGCTAGAAATCGAAGCTGACCACACAGATCCCCTCCATGCGCCGGCATAGACAGCCACGTTCACTTCAATCCCAGTATGTCAACTCGATCGGCCGGCAAGTCAAAAGCAATCCGATATTACGAGGGGCGATAAATACTTCTCGTGTAGACTTGGTCAGTCACCGACACCGGTGAATGTCGCCCCGTAGCGATTTCTAGACCCCCGAGCACACAAGCGCTTCGCAGAAGCGCATTCCGGCGTGGATAACCAAAAACCATGGTGGTGTGTTGCCGTCATTGCTGCTTACGACAACGGGCGACATAATGCCCCTGGGCCCTGAGGGTATTGAAATAAATAAATAAATAAACTGTACCCGAGCTCCGAGCAACTCCTGCGAGTCGAATGACGCAAGAGCATGTACAGAGCAACGCTGGACACGGGTAGGTTTTCAAATAAATAAATAAATAAATAAACTGTACCCGAGCTCCGAGCAACTCCTGCGAGTCGAATGACGCGAGAGCACGTACAGAGCAATGCTGGACGCGGGTAGGTTTTCAAATGTCAAGGTGCAAAACCTTTGCTGCGCAGCCACATTGAAAAACACGGCCGCAGGAAGGCACAGATGCAGTCAAGACGCTGCAGGCACATTAAAAGAGGGGGGAGTGGGCAGCGCTTCACTATGCAACGCAGCGCAGACGCCGTCATTGGTGGCGCTGCCAACCAGCTCCCAACGCGGTTCGAACAATAGAACCTCCGCAGTTCGAGTTAAAAAATGATGTCCGCATTCACTCATGAGGACTCGCCGGGCTCCATGACGTAGAACTAGGTTATAGGGTAGAAATAACGCAATTGGTCAAGCTATCGCATCTTGGAGAGGAGCAGTTTTGACGTAGGAAGTAGCGTGTATGATGGCATCAATTATCTATCGCAGTTATGGATAAAACAATGATCTATCGCAACCACCGATGGTTTGGGGACCCCTTCTAGATCAGCGGAAGTTATGGGGGACCCCGAAGGTCCGCGGACCTCCATTTGAGAACCACTGATCTACCCAGTGGACACAGGAAGGGGCCCAAGGGTGTCTGCACTGATCACCTCTAAAGGCTTTGGTGGTGGGGTAAGGAGTTAACATAAATCCCCATGGAGGGATGACGAGTGCTTGCGGCACTGGCACTACAGGCATGACCAAAGGCTTTTGCAAACACTGCGATACACGCCGGGCCAGAAGAAGCAGTGACGAATTCCGGCGTAGGGCCTGAAAGAGATCTACCATAATATTCCGAGAAATAGCTTACCTGAAATCGAGAGCAAATTGGGTGAAAATTAAGGGTGTGCTAACTTTCGGCGTGCAATCAAGAAAAGTTTAATAAATGCTATTTGTAGGTTATCTGTCCCTGCCAAACTTCTTATTGCAGCAAAAGACAATGAAGCAAAGAGGATTGTACTTTCCAGACAGTAATGTTCGCTTATATCTCACCATAGCTAACTCGTCACATTTACGCCGAGGCCATCATTGTGAATACTAGTATGATAAGTAGAAGTGGGCTATCTTTCGATGTTAAAAAAATGATAGCAAATCAAGCCAAAAATAGGGGAGGGTTATTTTTCGGGGTGTGGGGCATTTCTCGGGATATTACGGTAGGTGACCCGCAGTCAAGATCGCGAGTGCAACTGGAACGTCCTGCCGCATACTGCCATGATGCTTTCCTCACCGCAGTATTCAGTGCCGTTCACAACGACCGAGTAGCAGGATTGCAGTAAATGCATTTGCCACTGTTTATGAACAAGTGTCGCACATATTTTACACAAAGAATGATTACAGTCAACCTCAACCACCCTTGAAATAAGACTTAAAAATGTTTGTTTCCAAAAATTGAATTGCAATAGCTTCTAAGCTGAGCGGTGCAGCGGCTACCTCGACAGCAACTCACACAGACGCATTGCCGCAACACTCTTTCTGGCACAATGCCTTTGTGTAATTTGTACACGCTTTCCAAAATTATCTTGGAAGTTTTAAATACTAATGTCTAAATTACAAGACTAATCTTACATTGAGAATATGGAGCACGGTTTCTATGGGAGAACACAGTCTTTCAATGCAACCAAACCGAAGGTCGCAGGAAAGCCCGCTTACCTTGGAACACTTGATGTGGTAGTGTAGATAGTCCCTAAAGATGTGGATCAGGTTTATCGTGTTGTCCCTCGCCTGGCGGTTGGTGTGCCTCGGGAAGAGCACTGCGAGACGGGGGTAACGGACACCACTCAGATTGCACCTCGGGTCACGGCAAGAACAAGAGCCACTGTAAGTGTGCCCAACAGTGTTTCAAATCTGGGAGAGAATTTTTTTTTTTTTCTGCTTCTTTATTTTTGTCGTGTGATTTCACATTTATATTTCACAGAAATCTTGTGGAGGCGAAAATTTGAGTCCTTTTCACGACAGGGCCCGTTATGTTTGAATAAGAACAATCGAGATGACCTAAGACGTGTTCTCAGCTACACAGTCTGATCAGATAAAATGCATACTCGAAGAAACCATCAAACAATTCTGAGACAGTGTGGGACTTGAAGTGCATCTTGCATTAAGTGAATAAAGAACACTAAAACCTGATAGCCTGTGCTTTATTGTGGCTTTTTCACCGCCGGCGTTGCCGGCTGTGGTTGCCGGCGTCCCAGCTTCCTTTCTCGCTCAAAACTTTGTTCAGGCCACATAGTCCCGCAAATGAGGCGAGTGTACTTTCTGACCCAACAACTCTTCTGGTGCATCTGATGCTTAGAGCAACAATACTTTGTTTCATACATAGTGTCCAACACTGTTAAAGCTACTGGTATAAGCATGTGTCTCATTTGCATACGCTTCCATACAAAGGATATACTAGACGAAGTCAAGCCCTCACACCAGTAGTTTTGACAGTGCTGTAGACTACCGAAAGATATAGATTCAATAATCTCCCCCAACCCCGCCTGGAATTTGTGAAAAAAGCAGGATGGATGATATTTTAGTGTCCGAGCGTAAACAGTGTAGAAAAAGTCAGAAAACATAATTTTCTGCAAGGACATCAGCACGGATAGACAGAGGACACACTGACTCAAAGACTATGCTATTTTTTTACCTGAAGCATTCATGGAATGAAGTGCTACTGTTGGGAAAACTACACTGTCGTCTGTCACTTGCATACATATGAAAAAGAGTGGCAGCCTTTCTCATACCGTAACGATTGGTGACGGCCCAAAAATGGCTGTCACTGAAAGCTGGACAGCTGCTGAATTGTGCATTTATGCATCGATTGCCATGGCACTCTTGTAGTAGTGCTTATATTTGCAGTCCCACTTATGTACACACTTCAATTTACAACAAAGCAATGTGTATGCGCACTCTTTCGATTTATGCTATCAGTGCCGTTCAACCGCCTCACCTTCCTTGTTCACTGTGTTTTTAGACCTCATCATGTTCAGACATCTAGCAGCAGTAGTGAGTGACAGGCAGACAGTGAGTAACAAATCGCAATTGGGAATCGAAGCCTAAAAAGGTGCTGATTGGATGAGCATATCTGAAACTATGGAGGTGAATACAATTGTTTGTTAGCAAAACAAGTATTTTTGCAGTTATAGCCTTTGCTTATCTTTCCGACGGACACAGTCCCACCTAGCAACTCGTGGTCATGACATTCCGGAAAAATGGGCCTTTACTATCTACGTGATTCGTGGATGAAGGTGTTGTAGAGGTTGCCAATATTTCTATTCCGCAAGCAGAGAGGGACTTCCCTTTGTTTCTGGACAGAAGAAAGATTTTTTTTTTTAGAGTGCAGCTCTTAGGCACCCGTTAGCCCCCACCCCCCCCCCCCTCCAAGGACCTCGGGAGGACCTCGGGTACCTTCAATGGCCCCCGACACCCCCCCCCCCCCCCCCCTCAGTACCCTTCCCTCCTCCTCCTCAAGAGCTGCGCTTTAATTCGGCGTTACAGGGAGTTGTAAACGGCTTTCACATTTTTCTCCTGATTTTACGCTTCTACTTTTTTTCCGTCCTCTGACGTTGTGTGCCACAATTGCAACATTCAGGCAGAAAGCATGTTCACTCAACTCACAGTCTACAATTGGAATGTTTGAGAAAAGGGCCATCTGCCAATGCCTTCCAGGAAAAAGAATATTTCCTAAAAACAAACAGCACAGGTTTGATAAGGGAGCTGAATCTAGATATTACAGTAAATGTGGTAAAAGTCCAATCATCACTCCCACAATCATGCTACTGACAATGATGCAAAGTGTCAGGCACGTAGCCAGGATTTTGTTTCGGGGGGGGGGGGGGGGGGGGGGGGGGGGGGGGGGGCCCATGACAAAATGCTGTATGAGGGGGAGAAGGAGGTCCCAGCAAAACGGAAGATTTTGGGACGGGGCCCGGGCCCCATGGGCCACTCCCCTGCTTACGTGCCTGCAGAGTGCACTTGTAAGCCTGTCGGTGAAACGCCGGCGACCATTCCAAGGTTCGCCACCTGACACTCTTCTCGAACGTGACAGGAAAGTCCCACAGGACGGACACGGTGCAAGGTTACTCACCAAAGGTGATGTAGCCAATGTTGTTCCCCACACGTGCATCCGTGTTCTCCAGCTCCTTGGGGGGTTCGCGGTGGCTGAACAACACCTGCGGAGAGGTGTGGCTCGCTTTCCTTCCCTCCTTGAACTCCTAAACGGGGAAAATCAAAGGAGAGCAAGATCAACAACCTGCTCCAACATTTTTGTAGATGCAGCTTTTACGGGTGAACACGCGGTCACCAGGGGCCCAAGCTGAGGCAAATCGGCAATGAGCACAAGCTGGAGTCCAGGCATTCAGAAGAGATGCCCTGTCGTTCTCATCCTGTCGACAACTACCGTATTTACTCGCATAATGAACGCACCCCCCACAACGGCAATCAATACCTCAACTTTTTTTTCTTTCTTGCGTCATGAATACACTTTTTTATTTTCAGCTCCGAGAGCCTTGAACTGCGTCCAACTTGGCTAGCCACCAAGCCCGCCAATCTTCTTTTGCTGCCAAGAGGCCAGGCCAAGTCAAGCAAAGCAAGGCCAAGCAAAGCCAAGCCGCTCTCGTAATGCTGCAATTGCGTGGCTAAGGAAGTGATCAACCATGAAACCAAGCAGCGTGCACGCCTAGCGAAGCTGGGGTGGAGGGATTGCCCAGACCCGGACGTGCTTCGTCCGTCGGATGCATTGATGTCAACAAACACATTGCCGTCTGTGATCCGATTTCGAACAGTGATATTGTGAAAGCGGTTAGGCCTAAGAACGGTAGCGTCGCTCTCCGTGCTAAATGAGCTTTGCTGGGCGCTTTTTCTTTGGCAAAAGGCATGCCAAAAGCACCCTACAAAAGTTTTGCCATTTATAGAGCATGATTACTGTGGTGCGCCCACAACCAGCCATGGGTGCACCTCCATCAGTGGAAACGTGCTACAGTACCCTGCCATGTCATATTGGCACCTAAAATGACATTTGCACAAAATGTGTAACTGCAAAAATCTCCCCCAAATATGGGTCAATTTTTCGGAAAAAAAAGTGTGTTCATTATGCAAGTAAATACAGTATATTAAAGGGGCGGTGCAACAATATTCAATTAGAATGTTTTTCACTTTACACGAGCTCACTGGCACTAGTGGCCGGGACTCAAGAATACTCCCACGCAACGCCACTGACCAAGAAACTCCTTTGTTGCGCTGTAATTTTGAGGACAAAACAGAGTATTTTCATTCAACCTCTCCTTCGCAAAACCTGATGACATAGGGTAGCAGTACCGCCCAGTGACGATATTTGAATACGGCTCATAGATTGGACCCGAGCATGGCGTGGACACTCGATTTGGGCTTGTGATAATCGATAGCTCGACAAGCATTGGGGTAGTGTCCTGTGTCCAATCGCTGCAATGACGATAACAGCCAAACCCTAACAATGCCTAGAACTCAGCGCGTGTCCTGCGCCTAGCCAACCCCAGCGCATGGCTATGATCAACGTTGGCGGCATATAATCGGCTCCAAATCACGTGGCCGTTTGTTCTGGCTGCGAGTTGAGGGGGTGAACTCTGCTCGTTTTTCTTTGTTTTTTTCTGCGACTTCGATGCGACGTCAGGAATTCATTCTCAGCGGTATTTGCACAAAATACAATAATCGTTGCATCGCCCCTTTAAAGATGACTAACCCGCGCTACCAGATGTCAACAATAGATTTACAATAACAATCAAAATAATAAACAACCAAAAATGCACAAACACAGAGGTGTGTTTATGCAAAGAACTACCATATTTTCAAGACAGTAGATGTCCAAGGTCGACAGTTAACTGAAGCAGGACACATATAGTGTATTTTCTTGAGTAATAGCCGCACTTCTTATGAACAAGGCCTACGGGTCTGCTTTCCTGCAGAGCACGGGTATAGCAGATCACAGTGGTTGACAGAAAAATGGCAACAATTTACGGGACAGAGATAACGTCTTTGCACGAAATTGCTATCTGCTCGGATCGCGCTTTTACAAAGAAGCGTGTTCTCGGCCTCAACATTCGTTGCAATTTGTATGCAAAACACAATGATTGGCTGTATGTCTGCTCTGCAGGAAAGTAGATGCAAGGGCCTTGTTCGCAAGAAGTGCGGCTATTACTCGAGCAAATACAGCAGAACATATTCAAGGATTGCACCAGTGATCATGCTCCTAAGCAGACAAGCCTGTATACATGCATGTCTAAAATCTGCACAAAGTACCAATGTCATTAGGTGTACCACGAGACGATGTTGTTGACAAAGTGAGAAGCTAAATCTTCTCAACTCTACTAGTTTTATTTTGTGTAGAGCTCAGAGTTAGCATTACGGCGCTGTGCACGAGTCAAGCTTTGCTATTTTGCACCGGTGTGCACATTCTGAGCTCTGTTGCTTTACACCAGTGTGTTGGGAGCAGCAACTGGGCTGGCTTCTTGGGCTCTGAAATTTTGCACACTGTTATAGGTAGACATTCCTTGGTTACAATCATAGTCAGACCTCTAATACTAAAAAAAAGTAAAAAAAAAAAAAGAGAAAAGTAGCCTCTATTTGAATAAATATGATAGATCTCCACAGCCGCAAAAGTCTACGCAAAATAAATTTGAATGGAAGTTGCTTTCTTTTCTACAGGCCCTCAAAAGCGCTATCAATTGTTACATTACCCTGGATTACACATTTTTTTTCTGGCTGTCCCCTGAAAAACATATCAATGAGGTTCTATTGTACTTGCTTCCTTGTACTGTAGTGGGAAGCGGTTCTGTGATGTAAAGGGGGCACTGTTTTTACACCAGACCAATGACCATGCTTGCTTTCCAACCAAAGCTAGACACTAACACCCGTATTCACCAGGCGCGACTAACCAGCACCGTTTTAAGGTTAGTAGCACGACTAAGTAGTCGCGAGCTAAACGAGAAATCCATGACTAACGAGCGATTATGTTCTGCGGTATTCACGAGCATGAAGCGAGCGGGTGACTATCTAGTCAGAACTAACAAGCGGAAGTGACGTAAAAAGATAGGTCACGCATATGCATACTTAAACGCCACTGCATAAATGGGTATTTTTTCGTATAAAAACTAAACTTTAAATGTTTATCGGGAAGAAAGTTACAACGAGAGACATATTGTTCGAGACAGTTTTACAAAAAAAAAAAAGTTTAAAACAATGCCAGGCAGAAACACGGAAGCCGCATTGCCAGCAACATAAACAAAAATGGAAGCGCCCGTAAATGCATTTTTTCGCGCCGTCCACCGCCCTGCTGAGATTGCTTTAGCAATATCTCTGGCCGTTGAACATGGCTATTGACACAATATTTGCTCCTCCGATTCTTTCTAGATATGTCCCCCAGCGTTCCGAGACAGTAAGTGCTTTGTTATAGCGATGGCGGTCAGCGGTGATACGAGTCGGCCATAGCGCTGAGCCGCTAATCCCCCGCTGAACACCGGCTAAACTAGCCCTACCCCATGACTAAGATTTGTTAGTCGACTTCTTAGTTGCACGGGGCGATTAGGCCCTAAACATGCCCGGTGAATACCAAGCCCTCACTTAGCGGCGACTATCGCTTGCCACGTGATCATTTTAGTCGATGACGCCGCTAGTCAGTGGTTAAACAGTCGCTACTCGCGCCTGGTGAATACGGGTGTAAAGCTTGGAGGACAGCACAACATGTTGGCTGTCATCATACTATCCAATTATCAATAGCTAGAGCACTTCAAGCAATCTTTTAACCAAAAATTATCTATTGCTAGATGACAAGTAAGTAAAACACACTTTCTTAGTGGCAAATGTGTATCAGCAACCATATGCCGGTTAATTAGCAACGTCCACTTTCACTATAGCTGTTTACGTCTTCTTCAATTTGGCCACCATAGGACAATAAATCAGTGTAGTAAAACATTTTTGGAACTTCTAGGCAGCCCTGTACCAATGCAGTTTTTCTTTATTTCTGTGTCTTTTTCTTAAACAGTCAATACTCGAATCCACGTTAAAATCCACTTGCAATTGCAAAGGGTATTTACCTGCATAAAGACCTTTCCCAGGACAACGTCTCCCTCATCCTTGAAGATAGTGCTGAAAACGACTGTGACTCTGTCTGGCTTGGCTTCGACATACCTGGAAGACACCACACCCCTAACGATCAAGCATAGAGCATGCGTGACAACAATGCAGACAACACCAACCGATCTTCCACTTTTTACCTCATGTACTAAAATATGGGTGAACTTTTCAAAATCAAAGTGTGTGCTTTTACCCTCTTGCACTTTGCAGGAGTCCAACAAAAGATAAAACCATGACAATGTTTAGACCCATTCGTTTCTAGTGGAAGGTAGGCAAAGCCATGTGCTCCTTTCTTCGTCTCTTCTGCAAGACAGAAGATACAAGCAGATCTTCTGCGTCATAGGAGAGGAACTGCAAGTCTTTTGCAGTGCAGATCTGCTTGCCTCTTCTGGTTTTGCAGATCTTCTGCAAACTACGAGACTTGCAAATCTCTTTCTGCGAGGCAGAATACTTGCAGATCTTCGTCTGCAAGGCAGATTGTCTCCTGCCTTGCAGAGCATCGGTGTTATATATCAGCTTTCAAGAGTACCTTCGACCGCTCGAGCAGGGCACAAATGAAGGGCTGAGAAACTGACATCTTGCCATTGCCGCCTGATGAGCGGGCAAAAAGAAGAAAAGTCCCTCACATGGTCTCGTCATCCCTGTAGTGGATCACAGCCCGCTTGTCCCCGACCTCTCCGCGCTCTTGGAAGTCGAAGTACTTCTCAAAGACGGATGCGAAGCAGTTCCTCTTGAGGTGGCTCGCCTTGCGGATGATTTCGTCCACGTTGTCAGGGATGTCCTCCAGGTCAAAGAGCAGCGACACATTGTAGCCTGCGAGAGGTCACCACATAAGAGAAAACGAAATGAAGTGGAATGAATGCAAAGGTCCCTTAAAGACCGATGTACAGCCTTGGTTGTCTGTAGGGAAGATAATCCTCTTAGTGCTCCCTTCTCCTAAGCTGCGAGGGAAGCCAAGTTGGGGCAAGGTAAAAAGTGGAGAGGATATAGGAAAATTGGGAGACAGGCAAAAAGTGAAAAGCACAAAGTGTATGTCAACCTTTAAAGGGCCAAATGACATGCAAAAACTGAATGTTTTCATAGGCAAATTAGAATGATAATGCAAGTGAAGTTTTGAAAACAACCCAATACTTACGTTGTAAGAGCCAGCTTAAATTTGACACCCCCCACTGCTGTGAATGACAATTTCCAAAAATCCCCACTTACAAGAGTAGCACTGCAGGCATTCCATTGGCTTATTAGAAACATCGCCTGCAACGTTACTGACAGAAGTAACATTGCAGGCAGTCATTCGAATGATTGAAGCGAGCCAGAGAGATACATTTAAAGATGCTTTCAGGCCGCTGTGCATGGGTGCCGCCATAACAGACCTTCAGTTTTTGTTCCCTCTTATTCCGTTCGCTCCACTTCATCATTGCCGGAGCAGGGCAGGTTACTCCCATCTTAAAATTCTATTGTGTCCTTCTCTCCAGCATAGGCCCTTGTGAAGACTCGTCAACGCCCGCTTCAGTGGCTCGGCATTTCGTTAAGACAAGACAAGGTCGGCAATGGCGACTCAATTTGGCGAGCGCTGAAAGCGTCTATAGTGCCTTGATGACTTTCAGTGCCAATTAATCAATCTCTCCTGTAGCCAACGACAGGCCTGCAAATTCTTATTCTCGAGACTCCGGAATCGCCATTCTCAATGGTGGGCAGGTATATCAGTTTGCTCTCACAACAAAAATATTTAGTTATTTTGAACTGTTTATGCCATATTTTTTTTCCTATAAAGATTTTATAGAGCAAGTTAAAGAAAAAGGGTTATATTTTTTTCCCATCAGTGGTCTTTTAATAAAACCCATGCATGGCCAGCTGTGATTCCCAGAATAAAGTCATCTGCTCAAACGACGAGTAATTGAGTGCCAGAGCACTAGGTAATGTGAGCCTGCATTTTCTCCATGCAGTATGCCAAGCAGTGTAACACTGACCGTATCTGATCCACTTTAAGTATTTTTCCTGGCTGACCTAAGAGTTTCTTCATCATGATAGCAGATTCTAGAGAACAATATGTTTGGATAGCATTTTGCACCTGGTTGGAGAAAATGGCAGCTGAGTAATGCCCAACCAGGTTTTAAAAGTCCAGGCTATGGGGAAACACATGCCGACATGTAATTTTCACACTTCGAGAGGTGAAAAACAAATTGGACCAGGAGTGCTTACAAATACTATCACTGTCACGCACAGCCCCAGCTACACTTAGGAATATCCAAAACCGCACTTAAAGGCCGACAAGCAGCCAGAAAAGAAGAAACTCCTCCCTCAATTCCTCCTCTCCATTCGAGAAAGAGGGACACCCTCCTGCTTTCTGCGGTAGGCTGCTCAGAGGCCCACACCAGGGGGGAGACGAGGAGAGCAGTGTGCAGAAGGGAGTGGAGAAAAGGACACTGGGAACTGGTTTTCTTCCCGGCAGCAGACAATTTTGTAGGTCGGCCCTTAAGCACCCCTTGCAAAACGTTTCTTCCACCCACAAACGAGAGGCACCTCAAAAGTGGCGCCTCTTGTTTGCTTACATCCAGAACTTCCGAGAAGCAACCAACATGCCCGTCCAACACATCGGTTCACGGTAACGGCTTTGCACTGCTGCGGCTCCGGTTCAGTGCTATAAAAGAATACCCATTTCTTTCTAAAAGCGGCACCCTTATTTGAACGAGCACCCGAAAAAGAACTCCGCCTGGCAGCAAACCCGTGCCGCTTTTGACTCAACAGGTATGTACTGCAGCACAGTAGCTGAGCGAGAGCACGCCCCTGTAGCGATCGTGCTTCATGATGGGGAATCAGCGTCAGCATTTATTGCCCCGGTGCATGCAGCTGTCTTTAGTTTGGATGGTCGCGGTTCGGACTGGACTGGGTTGGACTGGTTTTGTGAGGCCGCGGCATGGTTCCCGCCATGCTCTTTCGCTTCGTTTGCTCGCTTGTCACGTCCCTTTTTCCTCTTACGTAAGAGGGAAAGAATATTCTCACACGCTGTCAATGACGCGCCGCAGGAGCAAGAGAGGAGGAGATCGAGCGGCTGTGGCACAACTTACATGACAATGTGAAACTGAGGCACAGCGACACCGTTTCCGCGGAACCACCGACACCCGGGAAGAAATATTGGCTCTTCGAAAACAACCGTGTGCGAACCATAGGCGGTGATCGAGGGAAGCTGTGGTGGCTGCATCGGAAATCACCAAAGCTCAGGAGGATAGACTGGCTCTCCAAAGACAATAGTATGCAACCCGTTGCGAGGTTGGAACCCTCTTCTTCGCTGAGTCTAAACCCTTGCACTAAATCCTGATGAATTTCGTCAAAATCAGCGGAGTGACAGCAGCGATTTCAGCATGTATTTTTTTCATACGGCAACGACGACGCGTATGTAGCTGCGGGACAACGAAAATGGGAAAGCGGTGAAACACGAACCCGAGCTGTAGCAGGAAATACGGAATTGACAACGGCACCCAAGAGCTTTCGAGGAGCGACTCGTCGAGCACCGGCAGTGTGAACGTCTGTGGTCGCTTGTCGCATGTCGGCTCAACTGCTGCCACTCGCATGTGTGAACGCGCCTTTACTGCATCAACATAAGTTCAAGCCGGGCGCTGATGAAGCACTCACATCCAGTCTGTGACTTATGAGGACCTCCGATGGGGCAGAAAATCCAGCACTACTGCCTAGTTATGTAGTAGGTGTTGAGCATACTAACTAGGCCTTGGACCATGCCATTTGCACCTGTAAACCTTCTCTACTTAACTGTCATCTCTACTGGTACCCTTGTCAGACTCCCAGCTTCTCATAAACACACTACCACCCTGCTATTTATTATTGTGTCAAGACACTACGAATCAATATTTTGCTGCAAAATCACACACTACCTTTTTGAAAAAGTAAAAAGCTCAACTACTCCGAAACCAAAACAGGAGCACAGAGACTCATGGCTGACTAGCTGAGCAAAGAGGAGGGGGAAATGTAAAGGAGAGAGTTGCCAGAAGTCACATGGCTGTCGTTCCCTACCCGACTGTAAATTTTTTTTCTTCAGTCCTCCACCTCCCCGGCACAGGAAGCAGACGACGATGTTGCGAGCACCGTTGTCGTGCGATCGCTTTGCACTTATATCCATTCCGCTCGTCGTTCTGCACTTGGAGGATTGATTGGCTGGTACCGCAAACCAGTTCTGAAGCAGCGATCCTACGTCCGTAGCGACGTTGGTCTGTCTTCGCCGCCATTGTGTCATCCAGCCCACGATACGTTGCCACATTGAGAAGGACATAGTACTGTCGAGACCGGTTATAACAAAGTCAACGGCAATCGGAAATCACTTCGCTGTACGTATCCGCTTCATTATATCTAAACCTGAAAAAGTAACATGCAAAAAAAAAAAAAGAACATGCAGGTTGTTACAGGCACATGTTTATTGTGCCTGCAGAAAGCGGTGGAGGCTTTCCTGCACGCGTCTCTGCTAGATCGGAGTCGTCTCTCACCAACCGCGAGAAGCTCCGATCGAAAAAAGATCCTGCGAGCTACGTATGGAATGTGTTGACAGCTGCAACGGCCGCAGCAGAGGACACGGCGGTGGACGGCGATCTTTACGTTTATATGCACTTCGTCAAGGATGGCACGCTTTGGTTTCAAAGAGATTGTCTTCGCCTTCTTCGTCAAGGTGCCAGCAGTGTCGGAACTCTCCATCATTGAGTACGATGATTCGACGAGCGACCACACCGACCAGCGACGTTGACACAGAACATGAGACGGAAAAAGAAGCGCGTAGGGCCCCGAGTACAGAGTTCGCGCTCAAGCTCATCTTTTGTCGGTATAGGGAGCCTAGATTTAAGAGACGGGGCAACTGGTCGATCAGTCACGTGGTTTGTGAGCCGCATCTGCAAAATGAGCTGCAGCATGCAAGAAGTCAAAACTCAAAAGCGTTCATATTTTGCAAATGTGTGTGCCTCTCTGCTCAGTTTCCTCGCCACACCGGCCAAGCGACAACCAAATGTAGGCATACTTGCGCCAATCTGCCCAGGAGGCGTCTGCCATTAAATTCCAAATGCTCTCAGTGGTTGGAGTTGCTTCCCCTTAAAGGGGCACTGACACATCAAAATCATATTTTTTTTCATTATCCGAAACGATTGAAAACGATGCCGGGACATTAACCTTAAAATTTGAAACCTGGGAATTCAGTATTTGTGAAGTAAAAAAACAATTTCGAAATGCCGAATTCGAAGTTCCCGCGCGATCTGCGCCGGTGCGTTGATGTCAAGTATAGCGGAGTCCTGAGAGTCCACTTTTTTTTCACAACTCCGTGCTGTTGCCATCGCGACCCAAAGCGAGGAGGAAAGGAGCAAGCGCCAGCGAATTGGTTTTGAGCGGCGTCACCTGTTTTCCGTGGGAGGATACAAATCCAGGAGGTGGCACCACAACGGACTCCGATTTTTGGTAATACAAAAAGAAAAGCCGTAGTGCGTTCGCAATTGCAATAAAAAACATGTTTTACGATTGCCGTTATTAAATGTTATAGAAATGTCGCCTACAAAGCTTCTAAATTTCATGATTCTTAGTGTCACAAATCAAAAGAAGCGAGGAGGCGAAAAGTAGGAGGGGAGGGTGCCAAAAATAAAAAAATGCATGCACGTGGGAAATTTTTTTTTTTTTCAATGCGTTGTTTTTGCGTGTTTATGACTACAATGTGCATCGTTTCAGACAAAAAAAAAAATAAAAAATACGACCCTTGGGGTGTCAGTGCCCCTTTAAATATAGGCTCCCTCCATTACCTCTGCCGGTACACTGTCACGACGGCTTCTCCGTGTGTGATGTGGAAAAGCCGCTCCCCAGATAGGGAGAGGGGAGCGGATGACGGTGCAGAGGCTGCCGGCGGCGGCATTTATAGCATTGTCTGCAGGCCGCTCTGGGTGGCTGCTCGGCTGCGGCAGCTCAGTGCGGCCACCTGAGACTTGGTAATCTTTCCGAATATCGTTTTTAAATTATCACAAACTTTCTCTTGCACCCGCGGGAGCCGCCCAATTTTTTTTGCTAAAATCAGACACAAATGCATTGAAAGAGTGCAAATGGGAATGGGAAATCGTGATCGCTTCGCTGTAGCCGCTATTTAGTTATAACCAACTTCGTTATAGCCAGTCTCTACAGTGCATGTATTTCCAGTAATATGTGCAACATTTTTTTTTTTTTTTAATCAATGTTGCATCTTTTTGGAAGCCACGAAAGATGGGTTTGATATTTGGTTTTATTTTTAACGTATGTGTGCCTGGGGTGACTTACAACTTTTAATATATTTGGTATGCTAGTGTTATTGGCACGTGACCATGAAAAAAAGAGGGAGCACGCCTCGAACCGGCCGATTCTCAACCGACAATATCAGACAAAAAAAAAAAAAAGATGTTTTTGAGCTTCAAATTGTATCATGAGTAGCTGGGCTCTCAATAAAAGCCTCTGAGAGCATGAATACTGTCGGTGTCCCCTTATAATAAATTACTGAGTCAGAGTGAGGAGTATATGTCTAATATGAATCATGGAAAATTTGTGTGCAGTGGTGCTAAAAGGCTGCATGCAATCATTTAGTTTTGCCATCAGTCTATGATGGCACCAGCAAAAATCACTCGTAAAACATTTAGAACTCTTGTTCTTCAGTAAATGCTTAGTGACTTGACCCCAACCACATCAACTATTTTTATGAAAATCCTTCTGCACAAGCATGAGTCACTTGTCGGCCATCATCAGACGTCACTGACACAAAAACAACAAACCGTGCAATAATATTGAGACTAACTCACCAGGTTCAGGTGTGGTCAGCAAGGCACCATATTCTCTCTTTAAAAGCTGCGAAATAGTAAAACAAGAAAAAAGAGGTTGATACTGTAAGACCAGCCTAGGAAAATTTTTATGTCAATCATACAAGATTTAGAAGAACCCAATATAGGTGAACAGCCACTGTTTTCTCTACGACATGCCCTTTCCCTGAAAAACGTCCAAATACAACACATTGACACATTTTATGCAGCAATCAGTTGTACTTGGACCTCTTTGGGGAAGGGCAAGTTTGATTACTACATTTCATTACGATTAAAAGTTGACAATAGAAACACATCTAATGCACATAAAGTACAAAATTATTTAACACAATGAGCAAAAACTTGGTGAAATAAAACTGAAAACCTTTCATGGATCAGTTACTACCATAAGCTACTACATGGATAGTTCATGTTGCATTCTTAACCCCTGAATTCAGAGTTTTTTCAACATAGAAAAACAGCGTCATACAAGAAAAGACTAACACAACTAGGGACATAAAGTGGCATGAAAGAGACGTCATCAGTGTCACATGACCACGTGACTCGGTCCACATGACGTCAGACTCATGCTGCATCACGTCATCTGATGAGATGGAGCAGGAGTCAACAAGGTTACTATAAACATGGTCCAAATGACGTTAACGACCCCAGAACATGTCGTATGTGCAAGAATTTTCTCAGGGATGACCAAACTAGGCTGCAGATTTTCTTCAAAAAGTCAATAAAACTCCCCAAGCAGCTCGCCCTCGTTTTTACATTCTTTGCAGTTGCACAAGGAACGAGAATACGCTCTTCTCAAAAGTGGCTTCATCAACCCTGCCTGGGGGTAAACTTGACAAACTAATGTCACAGATTCTTCACACCAGTGGGACTGCACGTCTGTAAAAGCATAGAGTAGGCGGCGAGAACCGACTTCCACAAATTCAAGGTGTTGGGTGAAGCACTTCTAAAAAAGTACTTAAAGTACAAAGTAAACGAGAGGTCATGTACTTCAAGTAAACTAGGAAGTACACCAGGCACAATGTACTTGAAATAAAGTACTAAAAGTACAATGTACTTCTAAAATAAAAGTACTTTCCTTCGAAGTACAATCTTTCATGATGCCCTTTCATCCCCCTATACCATAATATCCCGAGGGATAGCCCACCAAAAATTGAAAGCAAATCGGGTGAAAATAAGGACTAATAAAACTTTCAATGTGCAATACAAGAAAAAGTGGAAAAAATGCTAGTTTTAGATTTTATGGCCTGCAAAACTTGTGATTGCAGTGAGGGGCGATGAACCAAAAACAACTGTCCTTCCCAGCCAGCAAGGTGTGCTTATCCCTCGCCGTGGCTAAGTGATACCATTTCTGCCGAGGTCAATTGGCCAGGGCACCGCAATTATTAAGTGGGATATCTTTCGGTGTTTCCGAAAAAAAATGGCAAATTACACCAAGCACTGAGGTGGGTTATCTTTTAGGGGTAGGGCATCTATCAGGATATCATGGTAGGTAGTTTTTAACTAATATGCTGCCAGTTAAAACCGGTGCAACCCCAGGGGTAGTCGGGGGTGCATCAGTTATTTTCAGAAATGGCGGCGAATATTAGATAAAGTCACGTGGCCATAGAGTAGTTGTTTTACCCTCGCTGACAAACTATCTGACACAACCAACTTGTAAGGCATTTATTTGTTGACAGAGCATCATTTTGTGATATAAATTTAGCAAGATCAAGTTGGGGAAATTTACTTTGAACATGGGAGTTGTACGTTCCTTGGAATGTACCAGAAAAAAATACTTTAAAGGCCGACGACCAGACTCGAGATTCTGCAAGGCAGAAGATCCTCCTCACCCTGGGAGAGGAGGAAACAGGCACCGGTGGACAGGGTAGAAAGGGGGAGAGGAGGAAGCGGGGAAAGTGCGAACTGGTCGTCGGTCTTTAAGTAAAGTACAAGTACACACGCGGAGAGTACATACTTATAGGCTGTACTTCAAGTAAAGTACAAGTTTTCTAAATCTATTAGTAGTGCCTTAAAGGCTGACATACACTCCACACTTTCCATTTTTTCCCACCTCCTCCCTTCCTATATCCTCTCCACTTTTTACCTTACCCCAACTTGGCTTCCCTCGCAGCTTACAAGAGGGGAACGCTAAGAGGACTATCTTTCCTGTAGAAAACCAAGGTTGTATGTCTGCCTTTAAGTACAATGTACTTTAAGTAGTTCCCAGCATTGCAAATCCACACATCTGTATCGTCCTTGATTAAAGAAGCTGTAAGAACATTTAGATAACTCTTCTTCTTCTATTACAGCCACTAAAGCAGAAATGTGGCAGCTTTCGTGACTGTCACCAGATGGCAGTGACCTCTGAAGAGGGTCTACTGAATGTGTGTCCCCTTAAACCAATATGGGATGCATCGTAAAACTTGAGAGAGTGATCTTATGTGCCAGGCTCTGTCAGGTAGTTTAGCTAAGCATTAACTAGCAGCCTAGCTAAGTGTTGCAGGTGCCCCCCAGACTACTTAAGGGACTGTGACACAAGGCCTACCTCATCCGCTCCGTGTTCCTGGAGGTCCTTGTAGAACTTCAAGGAAATGCTCACCTGCAGTTCAAAGTGAAAACACTGCTCTCAGCAATCACGAAGACTTTTTTTTTTTTTTCTTTTTTTTGGGGGGGGTGTCTTTTAGTACATTTTTGCCAGTGTATTTCCTGGCACTGAACAGATTGGAAAATATTTCGACGCAACTTATCAGAAATTTCAAGTCATTTATACCGTAAAATTTCCTAGCTTTAAACATTATCACTGGTGGTAACATGGAGACCCCCCCCAACCAATTCTTTGAGGCCAGGGAACTTAAACAAAGTTCAATCCATGGAACACAACCAAAGTTAGTGAATTTGATATGTGTAACCTCTCAAGTCAAAGATCTCTTTCGGCCAGACAGAACTTCATAAAAATGACAAACTAACTCACCCTTATTTTTGTTTTATCGTTGTTGGGGTTTGAGATGTGGTACAGAACACCATCAAAGTCAGCAATTGTGATCTCCAGGGCCTCGGGTTTATTCCTGAAAAAGCGTGAAATAGAAACCCACCTTAAAGAAGACCCAAGAGGAGTGACTTCTTTTCTCATGTCTTCCAGTACTGTTGCTCCACAAACCAATGCAGATGCCAAAAAACTTAATGGAATACTTAATGGACCATTTCTTAAGGCAGGGGTTCTCAAACTGTGTTCCGGGGAACACAGGGGTTCCACTAGCTGGTCTCGGGTTCTGCGAACACCCAAATTGCGACCCCCCCCCCCATGCCACAGGCGGCGTGGCAGGACCATGCAAAGCACCCTCATCTAACTTTGTACTGACATTGCGATTGATATGGTGGGGATATATGGGAAGCAACATAAGCAAAAATGCCTACAATTGTGCATCTGTTGTTTCTCAGTCGGCAAATATGGAGGGTTGGGGGGGAGGGTTCCGCGGCAGTTTTTGAGGCTTACTGGGGTTCCGTGAGGCCCAAAAGTTTGAGAACCCCTGTTTTAAGGCATTGCTTGGTTTAAAGGATATGACCAACCACTGTCTTGTAATCTATATCCCTGGAAAGTCTAGTTACATGCAACAATTTGGAATTAACACATTCTGTTCAAGAAATAGCTTGTGACCCGGACAGATTTTTTTTTTTTTTTTTTTATGTTTGTAGGGAGAAAGATTACCCAATCTTTTTCGGAGTTTGTTCAGTTTAGCAAGATTGGTAGATTTCTGTTGCTTGGCTAAGAAGAATGAAAAGTATTAGTGCAAAATATATTTGAGACAACTTGAGAATACAATAAAACAAGACAATTTCCTGCACTATGTAAAGTCTCATATTTATGGTACCACACAACTCAGAATGGTGCATAACAGCATATACGCACCGAAGACAGCTATATTGTCGACTGTTCCTACTTGGCGGCAAGCAGAAGAAATCTAACGCATTGCGATTTAGAACTACTTTATAGCTCCACCAGGAAATGCTTATTGACATGCTTCAGTTCAAATCAAAATGCCTGCCGCCTGTTCATAACACTATCCTAGCAGCAAAAATTACTGCAACTACAAAATAGTCGTAATGACACTTACTATATGCATGAGCGGCATTTGCAACATTTGCTCACTGTTGTGGAAAGGAAAATTTTGCCAGTGAAGCAGGATTGGACACCCAGAACAACAAAAGCTGTCCAGTAGGACACTCGTCCAAACTGGAGCAGCGAGGGGTGCAATTCTATATTGCTGCTTTCAGGCCTGCAGTACGAGCCACATTTGGGTTGCATTACCTCCACGCACCGAAACAGTGTCCTCACTCTTTACAATGGCATGCAAAGTTGTGACGAGTCAACGTGCCACCCATTTTATGTTTCTCCTAACTTCTCCTCTCCCCCAAGTAAAGGAAATGCAACGTCACGGGTCTGGGCGTGTCAATTCTTGCAAAGTACGCTTCAATGAACCCTATTTATGCAAGGGACCCGCAATCTTCTACCTGTACTTGTGGACAAAGAACTGTTAGTTACAAGCAGCCTCGCGAACGATGAAGTTTCCATTGATCCCGATGACCCCCCAGTGTGCGAGAAGCTTTGCACGAGCAATTCTACGCTCTGAATAGCTCGCGTTGAAATGAATTCTCGACGGTTTGCTTTACCAGCGTCTGTACGCCGAACGTGCTCTATCCTTTGAGCAGCACATTTTGTGGCAGCACCGCTGGTCCGCGCAGCTTAGGACGATAAAGTCTTCGATACATCGCGGTCAACTGAACCCTGCTAGTTAGAATATCCGCCGCTGCGGCAAGTGTGGTTTGTTAAGCCACCCATTTTAGTTCTAACGTTTTGGTGACTGGCATTGGACTGCATAGGGCTGACCAGCACAGATATAGAAAGAGAAACCAAGTAAAACAAAGTAACTCTGACTCTCTCACTTTCTCGTCGGAAACAAATCGATTTGTGCCAAGAATGGTTTGGTGAGTAACTAAATGATGCCATGATTCACACCTTGAGCGTAGTGGGTAGGGCAGGAAATGGACAAATGCACGGCTCTGAAACACAAACTACCCCCTTGAACATAGGTCCACGACTACGCTCCGGGACCGTGTAAGTGGTTTTAGTTGCAACAAGCGGAGGTAGAGTTGAACCGAATCATCTCACGGTGGGTATTATTTTTATTTTTATTTTAAGAAACCGTTCAACGCAGGCACCGACCGACAATCTCTTATCAGCAATGGACGATCACCGATGCAGTGGACTACCTTTCGAGGTAAATCGGTAGACCACTCGGAAAGAATATGAGAACACTCACCCCGCCTGCGCATTCTTGAACTTCAATTTGAGCGTTTCTTCGATTATTCGGTTGTTTATTTCCAATAATATCATTTTAACCGGCAAAAAATAAACTTCAGAGAAGAGCCCGAACTACTACACCGGAAGCCCACTGGGCGGACGCGAGTTCGTGTAAATAAAGCCGCGAAAGCGTGAGTAGTTTCGTAGAAGCGCAAGGTGCGCAAGATACCGCGATGAATAATATACACAGTAGTAATACAAATCTTTTGTAACAATTTAACTACAGTTAACTTAACTTTACCATTTTGTTTTACAGCGGCTTGAATAAAACGGCAGCAGCTATGCAGCTAATATATAAATGTGACCCTTACCTACTCCGGCTCACTCTAGTTACTCAAAAATATAACGTGGTCACACCTTACAATCTGTGACGTCAGACAATGTTCTCAGTCACAAAAGGTTTGCATTCTTCATTCTAAAGTTTGGAGTGAAAAGCTGAACGAACGCACCCTTTGTATCAGCTTGTTTCCGTCGCTTCTGCGGGCCTTCGTGTGTTGTGTAGAGGTAGGAGATTTGCACAAGGCTAAAAAGATTCTAAAAGAAATAACATATCGAAACCGGCGCTCTGCCTTCTTGTTTACCATCAACGGGGGCAGGTCCAATACATCAGAGCAGTCGTTCACACTGTCCTGACCTCGGTAAGTGGTCAATTTGTGTTTGAATAAGTGGGCGTCAGTTAGTTCGTGTTTTCATCTCTTGAGCGGGTTCGGTGATACTGCTGACGTGTAGCTTTTCTCGACTTAACTAATCATCTTCTATTCCTACAATCGCAGATGTCCGGAAACTGGTAAGCGCAAACAAAAACGGACACGAAGAACGCTGGTCTGGGTCCCCTTTTTCGTGTTCGTCTTTGTTTGCGCTTACAAATTTCTTGAGCAACGTGCACCGATTCGCCCAAGAAGTCTCGTTAAATCACAGACGTGTAGAGGTTTTGTATACGCGATTATTGACATCGTAGGCCCCGGCTTCAAGGGCCTCAAATTTCTATCGTTACAGGCGCCAGTCATGGAAACCTCAACACAGGACCTCTACTCCCACATCAAAACGAACTCGTCGCGCGTGCTCATCTACGAGAGGGTAGACCTACAGCGCAAAGCGCTAGATTGCATACCCGTGTCGGAACTCTACCTCAAAGCACAGCTCGCATTGACCGACTACTCCGATCAGAACACAAACCGTGACGAGAGCCACCCCGGCCCAAGCCTCCATGACTTTCTCCTCCTCGAGCTGCTTCATTGGTTCAAGAAGTCCTTCTTCCACTGGGTAGACACACTCGACTGCAGCTACTGTCACGCACCTACCAAGATGGCCGGCCGCGCGGAGCCGACGCCAGAGGAACGCCAAGGTGACGCTTCCCGCGTGGAACTGCACGCCTGCTCGCGCTGTCCAAACCAAGAGAGATTTCCGAGGTACAACCATCCTGGAAAGCTCCTGGAGACCCGGCGAGGCCGCTGCGGCGAATGGGCCAACTGCTTCACCCTCTGCTGCCGAGCGCTGGACTTTGACGCGCGCTACGTGCTCGACTGGACCGACCACGTCTGGACCGAGGTGTTTTCATACTCGCAGAAGCGCTGGCTCCACTGTGACCCCTGCGAGGCGGTTTGCGACGTGCCACTCATCTACGAAGCCGGCTGGGGCAAGAAGCTCTCGTACGTCATCGCCTTCTCCAAGGACGAGGTGCAAGACGTCACGTGGAGGTACACGTCCAGGTTTGCAGAGACGCTGAGTCGGAGGACGCTCTACGCCGAGGGAGAGCTCATTCGGGTGCTGCTGACGGTCACCAGACAGTTGCAGGCACACCTGCCGGAGGGACTCAGGAACAGAATGATGCTGAAGAGAATACTGGAGCTGTCGGAATTTCTGATCCCGGCAAAGGCCACCGACAGCGAACATCACGGGAGGACTTCGGGTTCGCTGCAGTGGAGGCTGCAACGTGGGGAGATGGGAGCTTCCTCGAGCAGTGTTGAGCCCTTTGTTTACAGACTTACAAACTCGAGGTGCAGGAACGTGGTGTTCAGGTACTCTGCGTCGAGGGACGAGTACTTTATACTTGAAGACGGAGTGCAAATGATGCACTTTTCGGGCTGGGCAAAAGGTGCCTTTAGCGCATTCAGGATGTTTCGAAAGGTTGGCAAATTTTTTCTGCTTTGAGGGGTTGGCATCCTGCTGATTGTCAGGACAAGGGTTAAGTAGGTGAAAGACAGTTGCACTATTCGGTACTGTTAGTGCAAACATTACATTGGCATTTTTTAACATTTTAATTTCAAAGGACATGGCAAGCACCAATTCTTTTTGCCGAGGTTATGTCTCTAATGAGCACTTCCCATGACACAAGTAGTTTTGGTGACAGCCTTTGGATTCTAAAAGCAAAACAGAGGAAATATGCTGATTGCTTTTTTGCACTATTACTGTCTCGCTATGAACATGGCACTATAGCAACATGGCACTTGCTATGAACAAGGAAAAGTTAACCGCACATAATAATCATATAAGGGGTCATCTGAAAACTGCTTATTCAAGCTGACTCTGAGGCAGCAAAATAGCAAGTATTGACTTAAAGCTGATCTACGAAATATAGGGACCTACTTTTCCGCAGGGTGGGAAAATCTTCCCCACCCTTTCCATTTCCCCTCTTCCACTGCTATTTGGGTGGGACTCTTTTTGTCACTGCATCTTGGGGCTGGATGATTCACTGCTTATCCAACCCCAAGATGCAGCAACAAAAGGAGTGTCCCCACTGTCAAGAGGGCAGTGGGAGGGGGGAAATGGGGAAGAGTATTTTCTACCCTGAGAAAATGGTTTTGTTGGTTGGGCTTAAAAATTTAAGGCCTAGGAGAAAGCATGGCAATCAACAGACCATGCCACATTATAAAGACACTTGTAGCATTGTTGATTATATAAAAAAGAGCAATGAACACCGTTGGTAGCATCTACTAATCGCAATATTATTTTGGGATAAAAAAAACAATGTTACTCGCTGTGTACTTAGCAGGGGCACCTTAAAATAGAGATGTAATGCCTAAAAAACAAGTTTACAAGAAGGCAACATTTTTTTTTTAGTAATTTAAAACGAAGCTTTCAAAATTTTCAGGCATATTTTTTCTCTGCTGTTTTGCAGTTTTGGTCTTGGTTTAGTTTTCTGAAGACAAACTATTGCAGGGCTTTCCTATTGCCACAGACCTTACTGAGGCATCTGTTGTCCCTAAGCAAGCGTGCACCAAAAAGCACAACCAAGAAAAAAAAAAAAAAAAGGCTTCCAGAAAGAAGCTGATCTTTTTTTCTGGACATTTAAAATCTCCCAAGAATTTTACGTCCCTACTTGGAACGTGGATAACCTAGTGCATCTGAACTTAGACGTGTCCTGCTAATGTTAATTTCCTCCCATTTAAACAAGTAATCATCCTTGTGTCATTTTCTGGTATCTCAGAAAGGTAAAGCAGAACTGCAAGGTCACCTCAAATGTAAAGTGATGTAAAATTCCCAGAAATTTAACATTTTTCCAGATGTGTAAGATATTACAATTTTCCTGAAACTTTGCTTTTCTCCAGAAATACACAATTTTGCATTTTACAAGAGCTGTCAGTTTTTACAATTTTTGAGAAATGTACAGTTCCACAATTTTTTAGAGATGTAAAACCTTGCAATTTTCCCTATATCGAAGTTCCAGTAATCTTACATTTTTCAAGCTCTGCAAGATTTCAGTTTTCTAGAGATGCAATATTTCCTGAAGTACAACAATCTTCCAGACAAAAGCAGACAACCTAGCGCGTCTTGCAAACTGGGACATGTCCTGCTAATATTGATTTCTTCCCGACTAGAGAGGTGATAATCCTTGTATCCTTCTCTGGAATCTCTGTGGCAGGAAGAGCAGGACTGGAAGATGACGTACCTGGCGAGGAGGGAAGACGCCGCGGAAGGCTCCATCTCCTGGAAGCTGGACTTCTCCCCCGGGAATGCCGTCAAGAAGCTGGAGGTGAAGTGCGAGAGCACAACCTACGAGGACGGCAAGGTGGAGTGGCACCTGGCGAGCGAGAGCAAAACCATTCTCCTCGATGATGGTATGTTTCCTGATAAATTCTTTTTGCCTGCCGTCTACAAAATCCAAACCAAATTTGACCTTCGTGTTTATACCGCATAAGGTTGCGCGTCTGCCTTCGAGGTGCGGTGATGCTGGTTTACGTCGTAGATGAGAAATTGAGGCAGCGCAGTATGACTGCTCGCCTGGTGTCTTTAACGTGCTTACGCAATAGTGATACGCGACCGCACGCTGATACAATCCTCATCCGGATTGAACCGGGCAGGGGTGGAGACTAAACTTGGGTTCTGCAGCCGGAGCTACAAACCCTTTTTTCTGCTTGCAAACGCAAGTCATCTCTTGGCTCCCAAGAGACTCCCAGAAGCTCCGTTTCAGCAGGCCTTCCAAGCCTGTTGATGGGAAAGTTCCTGGGACGACGAAGCTCTGTGGAAATCATGAAGTTGGGAATTTAGCGAGGTCCTCGTGTTGTGCTATTCAACATGTAAGAGGAGATCGGTCCTCTTACAGGTGTAGTAAAAAAATCTCGTGACAAATGTCCCGCCAACCGGTCCTTTAACCACTCGGAGAACCGGGCGTAAAGTATTCCATGAATGTTAAAGAAGCGGTGCTATGGTGGAGATTGTTCTCCCTCTGATTTGGCTGGAAGTTTGCGGGGAGCTAAACTGCCAAAAATGCATCTTTCCGGCGCTTTTTTTAAAAAAACGGTCTACAGTGACTGACGGGATGAGAACAGCAGGGAGTTCCTTCGGGGCACTAATCTACACGGCGGGACGAACAGACCAGGACATTGCCGCCTGCTGCGATTGGCCAGCTCCGCACCGCTGATTAATCGCAGCAGGCGGCAATGACTCGGTCCCGCTGCATAGGCTACGGCCACTGTTGTGCCGCATCCAGTGCAAGCTTCCTACATTCGATAATGCTTTGGCATTTTGCACGATTGTTGAGTGCGCATGCACAGCCAAAGCACAATGGGAGGCGACAAGCGTGTGCTGGAAGCCGGGCATTTGAAAGAGACGCCCTGCTGTTCTCGTTTTGTCAGTTACTATGCGGAGCGCAAGGTCCCCTGCTTCCTTTGCAAGGGCTGCGGTGACATCAGAATGCCGAGCTCTACTTGAATCAGATTGAAGGATAGTGGGTCGACCTCAGGCAGCCTACTTTGAGGTCTGCCCACTATCATTCAATCTAACCCAGTCAGAGCTCGGTGTTCTGAAGTCACCACAAACCTTGCAAAAGAAGCAGACGAACTTGCTCTTTGCATATCTCACGGTTTGATCTTGCAGTACAAATTTCTGGGGTACAAGAAAACAGCAGACTTCAAGTCACATTTGTTTGTTTGCATCTAAGTTTCAGTTACCCTCACAGGTATTTGTATAAAACACATTGAGGAGTGTAGGGGAGTTACATACCTTTGCTTCCGGGAACCAGTGCTCAAAGGGAACCCAATGCCCGTCCCACCACGCAGCCAACGGCTACCAGCAAGGACGGTCCCCACGCTGAGTTTGCCAACGCCATACCAACAATGATGATCCTGGTATCCAACAGTGTTTATTGGGAAACGGGAGTCCCCAACGAGACACCGCGGTCAAGCAAGCTGTGGACTGGATCCACAGCGCCCGCCGACTTGAGAGCCAAAGGGGATCGCGAGCGGAGTCATCACCAGTGGGCCGAGCTCATGCCGCTACCCGTCGTCGCAGGAGTTTTGGTCATATATCTCAGCAGACGGGCGTCCACTCGCAGGAAGGGACGCCGACCGTAAGGGCCATGGGAAACACTAGCGTTCAGTCATCACCGATCGGACGAGCTTGCGCCTCAACTCGACCCATCGCTCGGAGCAGGCACGTAGCCAGGGCCCGGCCCCCCCTCCCCGAAATCTTCCATTTTGCTGGGACCTCATCTCCCCCCTCCCCCTCATAAAGCATTTTGTCACGGGCAGCCCCCCCCCCCCTCCCCCCCGAAACAAAATCCTGGCTACGTGCCTGGCTCGGAGTCCAATCCAGGACTCCACGACCAGTCGGGCGTTCCTTCCTCTGAGTGAACGGCCGTCTGCCGGAAGCTCTGGCCCAAACTCCTGCGGCGACTGGTAGCGGTGTGAGCTCGGCACACCGGCGATGACTCAGCTCGCTGTTGGAAACCGGGATCATCACTGTTGGCAAACCCAGCACGGCAACCGCCCTTGCTGGCAGCCGTCGGTATGTAATTCCCACAGGAGATGAAGGGTGCAGAACAGGACGTGGATGTGATATCCTTAGTATGGATTTTAGTTGAGCTAGTTGGTACATACTGCTGGCAATCGGGTCAGCTGAACACTGAAATACAACACAGAGAAAAGGACTGGACAAACACACTGCTGACTAACAACTGACTTTTACTTGATCCTCTTCCCAGCCTAGGCATTTTCTTCTTCCTCCGACGGCACATTAAACACAATCCAAAAATCTTTGGCCTACCACTCAAAGGGGTATGGCAAACCGCAGATATTGTCGGTCTTTTTTGTGAGCCGTAATCGACGAGGTGCTCACGCAATCTTCTGTTTCTTCACTGGCCAAGGCCTCCAGTACTTCATGTGCGAAGGAGTTCTTGTTCCTATGAAGGACGGTTATGCTGGTGAGCTCTGCATCAAATCCATAGGTCCGGCATTGAGCTGACTGATGTCTTGCTGACGTACTCTTTACAGACACTGCATGCTCTCTTGCTCTTTCGTTTATACATCAGCCAGTTTGGCTGATGTAGCCCCTTCTGCAAGAGAGGGGAATATGATACACGACCCTTGTTTCGCATGGTGCATAATGTGTTCTATGGGCTGTGTCAGATATCTTGCTGGTCACATCCTTTGTTGACCCTGCGGCACACGGAGAGCGTCACATGGACAAAATCTTTCATTTTTAATTTTTTTTATTTTTTGTGTTTGTCAACAGACCAATGGTGCTTTTTCCCAATTGACCTTTTTCAAGAGTCAATCTATCCACCCTGTCCAGAGCCAAACCTGATGCTCTAATGGCCAACATTACTAGATCAGAGTTAGTTTACAAGCTTCCTAGAATGCCTGATGTCGTTTCGTGGCCATCTACTCGGTGGTGCTCACTAAGCTATCAGCCCGCCCTACGGACAGAAGTGGCAGAAATGGTGGAAAGTTGGCTTCACATTACCTGTGGCGGAAAGTAATTTTATTGTGGTTTTTATGGTTAATGTAAAGTTTGTGCAAAAAAAGCCATGCGTAAACTCCTCCTTTGCCCGTGGAGGCATTGTCGCTAAGGGCGCTATAAGGCCATACCGTATCGCGTGCAGGCAGCAGAGAAGAACCGTTTTCGAATGTCACTCTTCTGTGGAGCTTTTCAACTGATAGATCTAGAAATGTGGCTGATGGCAGCATTACACAGCCTCTGTACACCGGGCAAGGTGAACGTCTTTGAAAGCATAATGCCAAAAGAGGAAATTTATTCTAACTTGGTCCTTATCGTCCCCTAAGATTCACGAAGTCAAGGGTGCTTGATTTGGGTGATCTTAAAAATATTAGAGCTTTTGAGACTGAAATTTAGGGATAATGAATGATTTCACATTAGAAACCACTAATAAATGGCACTGCATCATTTTCTTTGCGAAAAATGGGATGTATATATTGTTAAATCTTACTTTAAACATGAGCAGAAATCAAAATTGAAACTCGGGCTCCGTTTGGAAAGATTGGCCTCGGGCCGCCAAGAACATGGCCGTCATGTTATACGAGATGTCACGTGATCCTCTGTGCAATGACGGGCGGGATTGGGGCGGGCACGTGCCAGGCGCAAGTGTCTTCTGCACCACACTCTTCACCAAGTTTTGGTGTCTACGACATTCGACGACGTCTGCACAACTGCCGCATCAGTTTGCTCGCATAAGGTGAACAAAACTCCGAGAGACAATATAATCACAAACGGTGAGGCGACGATGGCAGTTCTGATGCAGAAAACGGCGGTAACTGCCGGACGGCTCCCAAGAAGCACGCTGAGCAGGCACATTACGCTGAGCGCCAAGAGGAAGCGTTGCTGACGTCACCCGTCGCGCTTGCCCGGAAAAATAAAAACAAACAAAAAGGGGAAATGGTGATGACGCTTAGCTCAATGTTGACTACGCCAACGCATTAGCCTTGACCGCGCTGTAGGTTGCGCCTCAATTCGTCCGATAGCGTCAGCCAACTTTGGCAACTTGGCGCATTCCAAAGCTTGCCGGATTGTTTAAGAAACATTTAGAAAGAAAAGAACTAGGTCATAATATTTGACGTGTGGCTTTGCTAGGTGATACGGAAGAGGTCTGCATTGTATTTTAAGAACAAAATGAAGTGGAGTTGCCCTTTAACTGGGGACTTCCATGATCAGAAAATATTGGCAAAACGGGGATTTTTTTTGGTCCCCATTTTGCCAATGTTTTTTGGTATCGTACGCTTTTGCCCGTGTGATAAAAAGAGTATGCGTTTGAAGACGCGCTCCCAAAGACCAACTGAAGAGCGACGCGTCTGTGGATGCGCGCCTTCCAAGCTGCTGCGAACATTGATGTGTTCTAAAGGTGTGCTCCCCAGTCAATGTGTTACGAAGGGTCAATTCAGTTTAATCAAGTAAAGGGTTTATACACTTTGGTGAAACCATAACTTGGCTGATGATGAGGATAATTTAATATATGCCTGTTTAGATCATGCTCATTGCCTTCTCTTTTCCAGGAAAGAAGACGCATACCGTGACATGCCTGAAAGGGGCCCAGGCACTCTGCCTCAAGGCACGGGTTAGCGGCGGACGAGGTTCCAACGCCTGGCAGCATGCACAGCTCTTTAGGCAGCCATTGGATGGCCAGCAGTTTGCCTTGGAGTTGGCTGTCACACTCACAAGTGAACACCTGCACTTAGAAGAGTGAACTCTTGTTAGGATGTGGCGAATTTCTGGGTGTCATCTATCAAAGAACTTTAGATTGTCTTATGATATGATCGTCAAAAGTGGCAGTATGTCTGTGAGTTGTCATAGCTTCTTTGGCATGCAACATCAGTGGTGGCCAAAAAAAGAATTTTAAGCATTGGCCACCATTTCTTTTTTTTTCATACTATCTTCCTGTTAATCTTAAGAGCCATCACAAGCATCTTACATGACTAAAAATTTTGGATAGATGGTGTCATATCTAAGTAGTAAGGTGTATTGCTCAAAGCAAGCTATGCTTTTTTACGCACTCATTATTTTGTGAAGGTGATGAAAATGGAACTTTTTATAAGAAAACAAATATGGAGGGGACTCCAAAGCAAGCCTGTGCCTTTTCACAGCTATTTGACCCCCTTGGTGCTGTAAAAAGCCACATTTGTACATGTTCCAATCAGCAGCTTGCGAAAGCTCTGAATTCAAGCTGAAAAGTCTCGAAGATTAAACCAATGGGCCTGCGTTCGCTTGTTCAATAACAGTTGCTGTGAAAACGACATGCTGGTGGTTGCAACTTTTGGAGAAACTCCAAAGTGCCTATGTGCAGGAATGAACCAAGCTTTTTTATGGCACTAAGAGTGTTGCTTTCCTCTCAGGTTTTGATGTCCTAATAATGATACTGATATAATAATTTATATGGGAAGTCCCCTGCTTTTTGAGTTTTTGGGTGAATGAGTCAAACTCATGGTGAAAATGTTACTGTAGTATTTTTCTTAGGTTGCACGAAGTGGTTTGTCTAAAACTAAGGGGTCAACCACTGACGCAGATTATTCTTACTCATTTGTAGTATTTTTAAATACTTGCTTTCCTTTGTCATGTTTTTATTACATTTAGAGTTGACACACTGCACTTTCGTCAACGAGCACAGATGCAGATTGCTTTGCTGAGACAAATTGCTCTCCAAGGTCAATCCTGTCCTGCTCACATGCATGATTTGGTTTCAATCAGTACTTCTAGATTGGTCTGCAAAAGTGATTAATCAAAGTAGTACTGCTTTTTTTAAAATCTTCCATTAACTTTTATGCACATATGCCAGTTTTTGTGATTATTTGGAAGCAACCCATGTGTAAACAGGGCAATTATAGTATTGAACTACTGCAGCATTCAGGTTATTGCAGAGACCATTTTGCATTTCTAAGTTGTACTTTCCCTTTGTTTCGTACATATTCATTTACTCTTTTTTTTTTTACATTGGGCTTTCACAAATTTATTACTATGGAGTAACAAAACCACAATCACCTGAAGCCTGATGCATGACAGTCAGACATGATAAGTTTTTCTGAGCTCTTAAAATCCTAGCACCCGAATGAGCTTTCGAATTCAACTCCAAGAAACAAAACAAAAAACTAAAAGCATTTTTTAGCTTATTAAATTAGACAAAGAATTAAGGCCTTGAAAAAGTGGAAATCTACAGAATGATAAATTATTGTACTGTGCTTGGAATATAATCCGCTTTCAGTTGCAAACATGGTGCTCTTGGCCGTCATTCACTGACAAGCAGCTTTCTGATTATTCAGGACATGTTGAGCAGCATGCATATTTGTGCCGAGAAGTGGCAGCATGTGGCCAATTCATTTCGATGTGAACGCTAATATAGAAGCTTGGAAGTCTGCATACTCTGCAAGTGTCTTGCAATTCTGGGATGAGCCAAATAGCAGATGCTTAGTAGAAAACATTCTGCTGATTGTTTGCTACAAACACTGCAATACCCTCATGGTGTAATACGCCAAAACAACAGGGACAGACAAAACGAAGGTAGAACTAGACAGGACGCGGCGTAACTTTCAACTGAATTGTTTATTTAGAAGACAGAATTTAGGAAAAATATAATATAAAAGCAGGCACACGTGGCAGAACAACAGATAAGGTCCAAAAACACACCCCCCTCAAATGCCAGTGTCATTGGTTCTTCAAATAGTAGAATTCTTTATCAGTCAATGACAAAGAGGGAGCGCTTATGCAAGTATTGTCGTGGTGGGACCTAATCCGGAAAGCTTCATGAATTTCTCTTGCCGTTTTTGTTTTATAATGGCCCATGACACAGGTGTCACCAAAGATGGGGCTGCACTTTTCAGAGTTGGGCCCGCAATCGCAACGGTCACAATGAACCGCTAAGTGGCCAGACGGGGACTGTCTGATCGCCAACGCATGCTCTCTGACCCTATCATTAATGCATCTCCCCGTCTGGCCCACGTACACCTTACCACATGACAAGGGGATTTTATATGTGACACTGGTAGCGCACTCGCGGAACTTGGTGACATGTCGTTTTTTGCATGACTCTCGTGTCACATCCGATTCGTCTCCTAATCGGCTTATCCTCTTACAGAGCGAAGAAAGTTTGTTCGGTGCTGAAAAAACGACTGGTACGTCAAAGCGATGGGCCACCTTCTTCAGATTGTGGGACATCTTATGTATGTACGGTAGGACAACAGGCCTACCTACTCTCTTAGGAGCCCTTTCGCACACTGCTTCCTTCGAGGGAGAGCTGTTTGTGCAGAAACGTGGTATCTGCATCGGTTCCGCTGTAGCACCGGTACTGTGTGACATTTTTCTTGCAAATTGCGACAAGCGTATCTCTGAAAAAATTCAGCAAAAGGAACATGTAAAATTTTTTCGTTACGTAGACGATTATTTGGTGTGTGTTTCCCGCCCTGTAATTGCGGATGATCAAGCAATCACCGGTTTCTTAAAATTGTTCGCAAGCTGCGCTTTCGGCTTAAAATTCACCCACGAGACGTCGGTCTGTGGTCGGCTGCAGTTTTTGGATCTTGGGATATATTTCGGAGCGGAGCACACCTGCTGGGCGTATGAGCCCCGTTCCAAGAAAGGAATGCTTCCATTCAGCTCGGCGCATTCCAAGTTAGTGAAGAGGGGCATTGCTTCATCTTGCCTAAGGGCTGCGCTATAGAAATCATGCCCCCACAGGATGAACAACAGTTTTCATTCTCAACTCAGCAGACTTGAAGCGGCAGGGTACCCCCGTCATGTTCTTCGAGATGTTTCAGAGACCTTAGCAAAAAAGATGAGAAAAGACAACAGCGCAGTGTGCGAAAGGGCTCCTAAGAGAGTAGGTAGGCCTGTTGTCCTACCGTACATACATAAGATGTCCCACAATCTGAAGAAGGTGGCCCATCGCTTTGACGTACCAGTCGTTTTTTCAGCACCGAACAAACTTTCTTCGCTCTGTAAGAGGATAAGCCGATTAGGAGACGAATCGGATGTGACACGAGAGTCATGCAAAAAACGACATGTCACCAAGTTCCGCGAGTGCGCTACCAGTGTCACGTATAAAATCCCCTTGTCATGTGGTAAGGTGTACGTGGGCCAGACGGGGAGATGCATTAATGATAGGGTCAGAGAGCATGCGTTGGCGATCAGACAGTCCCCGTCTGGCCACTTAGCGGTTCATTGTGACCGTTGCGATTGCGGGCCCAACTCTGAAAAGTGCAGCCCCATCTTTGGTGACACCTGTGTCATGGGCCATTATAAAACAAAAACGGCAAGAGAAATTCATGAAGCTTTCCGGATTAGGTCCCACCACGACAATACTTGCATAAGCGCTCCCTCTTTGTCATTGACTGATAAAGAATTCTACTATTTGAAGAACCAATGACACTGGCATTTGAGGGGGGTGTGTTTTTGGACCTTATCTGTTGTTCTGCCACGTGTGCCTGCTTTTATATTATATTTTTCCTAAATTCTGTCTTCTAAATAAACAATTCAGTTGAAAGTTACGCCGCGTCCTGTCTAGTTCTACCTTCGTTGTGTCTGTCCCTGTTGTTTTGGCGTATTACACCATGATGCAAAACCAACTAGCCCAACTAGCCATCCTCATGCAATACCCTGTTGAATAAAGGGGGCACTTAGTGATAATCTTGCAAGCCTTCTGTATCGGAGTTTGCCATCAAAAGGCTTCCAATAAAAGGGGTGCATGCTTCTGAAGTAATGAAATGTGTGGAATTTACATGTGATTGTTGCCTTATAAATTACCATTTTATAAGGACGACTTTCTGGGGTGCTCCCCAATAGAGGAGGGCACCTGCCGGTGTTTTTTCGGTGCTCAAGATGTGCGCATGCACACGCTGCTGTACCTTTGATTGCATCGCCATGGAAGTTTTCGAGTAGCATACCCAGACATTGGTATCTGTTGTTCCTTCCAAGATCCAAAACAATTTTTATGGAACTTAATTAAATGAATGTTATAATAAAGTGCAGAAATTGCCTCTGGAAGCTAGGTTGTTCCTCATTCAAAAGTTCAAAATGCTGAACCAAGAGGGTAGACATTCCCTTGGCACTCCCCCGGTCATCTTTCCTGTATTAAAACTATGCTTTAGAAGATATTTTTACTTGAATAAAAGACTTTGATCGAAAACGAAACCAAAATAAATGACTGGTATCGCTTTATTGGCACGAAATATGATCCCAGCCGAAATATTATTGTCAAAGTGAAGCCGCTTACTCCATTAAAACTGATTTTAAAGATACAACCAGCTGCTCTTTAGTGGGCAACAAGCGGGTTAGCTTTTAATCAAGCAACACTGGCGTAGCACCCCTGTGACGTCACGTCGCAGTGGGGCTGCGGTTGATTGGTTGTACCGTGTACCGCAGCACCAAGTAGACATCACGTCGCGGCTGCACGGCTGATGATCAGTGTTCCCATCCCTCTAGCAGATAATTTCGGTTTTGCCGTAGACGCCTGAAACCAAACTTTCAAGCCGTGATATTTATAAAAACTATGCACAGTATCAAAAAAAAAAAAAAAAGTTATACATTGTAATTCAGGGACACTGCTTCAGCAGTGAAAACAGTTGTAATCCCAAACTAAAAAAATATTACCGGAGTCGCCCTTTAAGGAACTGAGTCCGTTACAAAATGTTGAAACAAGATAATATTGTAAGGAAAAAAAAAGAAAGGTATCCAGTGGGCCTCTGGGGCACTCTGGCATCCGAGCGCAATTCCTGCAAGATTTAAACAAATGAGACAGCTTGTGACGAGTCGATGTCACTTTGCAGTGTGACAAAAATCTAGCAGAGTAAAAACTGTGTTGATACTACTCTTTGAAAGTTAGCTTGCATTCTGTATCTTTCTCAAATGTGGCAAACAAACATTACTTGAGCCTCTGAACTGTTGAATTTATGCAAAGCACTGATGCATACAGGAACACAGGAAAAGGGCACCAACAAAACGTTTTAGATGTCTGCGAGTGCCGAGCTTGTTATACTAATATAACTCGGCACTTGCTCCAATTTAAAACATATTTGGCTGTTTCTGTTGAGGTCTGACTAGGGCTAGGGTGGTTTGGCTGGTGGTCAGATTGAAATTATGCGACTTGCTAGATTCCAAGCCTTAAGGCCCAATCACACACTTGCAACCTCTTAGAACCGAGTGCCTTGGAACCTCTTAATGTCTCTTACGACGAGAGGACACACTGGTGCCATCCATTGGGTAGCAGTGTAAACTTGGCAGTATGGGATATTTTCTATTTCTCTTGGGCATCCTTCTTTCTTTTTTGGCTCAAAAAACTTTTGTCTACGTTATAAACGAGCCTTTCTCATAGGTATTATGCACATTTGACCTCGGAAATCCCGTTAAACCTTTGCTCTTGTGAAATGCAGTTCCAGGGCTACCACATGAATGGTGCCAGCGTGCCAATGTGTTCTCTCGTCCTAAGAAATTTTAAGAGGTTTCAATAGATTTTGTCTCTCTCTGTCGTACTCAGTTACCAAGTGTGTGAAGGGCCTTTACACTTTTGCAAATGCCACTAAAGTTAAGGCATTGGACACAGCTAAAGTGTGGCTAGTCTTGGCTCTTCGTGCTAAGCTCCATGGAGGCTTACGATTTTATTAACCCTTTGAGTGACAGGTTTTTTAGGGGCAAAGCTCCTTAGGGGCTAGGCATTTTATTTATTTATTTATTTATTTTCAAAATACTGCCAATCCCCATTGAGGGATTATAGCAGGTATGGTACAAATAAAAATAACGTAGGCATGTCCGTATGTCCGTCGGGTGCTCGTGAGCACGTGCTTTCGTGCTCGTGTAGGGAAAAAAAAAAACCGCATCTCCACGTGGTGAATGGTGTTGATTGGGGCGAAGCTCTGGTGGTGCTTGTCTGCGTAGACGCTGAGCCGCAGCATGCCGAGCCTTTCGTTCGTTTTCATCCATGTCAGAAAGAGGATGTGTGGTATGGAACGTGGTTATATACGCATTTGACCGCAGCGCGACATGGATGAAAACGAACGAAAGGCTCGGCATGTTGCGGCTCAGCGTCTACGCAAACAAGCACCACCAGAGCTTCGCCCTAATCAACATCATTCACCACGTGGAGATGCGTTTTTTTTTTGGGGGGGGGGGTGTTTTTTTCCCCCACATGCCGGATGCAGATCGTGGTCTCAGTAACACGATAGCATGCTCCGTGAAGAATGTTTTTTTTTACAAACGATGTGATTTTATAGACAAAAAGGTAATTGATGTCTGCATGCCTCCAAGCTGATATATTTCTCGTATTGTACTTTTTGACCCAAGTTACAATGCAAAAGTAACCAGACATTTCACTCCGAGGTCACTCTTTTGAGTGACTTACTGTGTCTGTTTATTCAAAAGTGTAACCCTGTTTTCGCAGTTGTCAAACACTGAGTTCATTAGTAATATTTAGATCTTGGCGTTCGCCACAAAGCGAGAGGTTGGACGACATAGATGAGCTGTTCCGTAAAAACGAAGGAGCTTGCAAAAACAAGTTGCCTAAACAACAAAAAAAGATATTACACGGCATCAAAAAGTTACACTACATTATAAAACATTGTTTTCATCGCTTGCCATTACATGCCACATGTTTCGAAAGGGAACAGCCCAGTTAGGATGGGCAGAGAGCAAACCGAAGCTGCAACTGTATGGGAATGTGTCCGGGCATGGCACTTGGAAGGTTAATAAATATGCACGGCATGAGTATTTAGTATGAAGTGCAACTCACTTGGCACAAAGCGATTCCTTTCTTTCTGTTACAAGTGAAAATCTGTCATCAAAACTAGGTACCAATGTGAAAGAGTGCTCACTTGAGGCAGCAACTGAAGTGGTAAGCTTTTAGGCTCATCGACGCCTTGTACAGGGAAAGCTTAAAAATGTGCAGATGTGCTATGTGCCATTGCTGACACATGGCACGACCACGACATAGGCACATTTTTGTACTATGTGCCATCCCTGGCGGTGGGAAAAGAGAAAACTTTCAATGTCATGGTGCATGGTTCGTTGCTGCAAGCCTAACCGCTTATTTATTGGCTCTATTAAACAGTGTTATACTGTGTACTCAATAAACACCCATGTCCTTTTCTAAAAGTAACTATGGAAAAGAAAACGGTCCAGCTGTCAGTTTTCAATCTCCTTTATTTTTGTTAAAAGTGTCATTGTTTCAAGTGACAGATCTCACTTCACAATGAAGCGCTTGAAGTACTTCCAGCACTTCGTGCTCGAAGCACTTTGACGTAGGTAGCTTTCTTTTGTAGCACAAAAAAGGCTCAGGCGCAATAGTCGCAAGTGTAGCGCTCGTTTTTCGAGAAAACCCTATGGACACTAGGCATGCAAATTTCAAGGTCTAATGCCGAAGGACTTTCCTCCATTCAAATTCTACGGTGGAACGCGAAGAGGAGACTGGCAGAAAGACCCGCAGATGGCTCGTGCCAAATTGGCTTTATAACTTCGAGGCAGAAAAGAAGCTGACAGTAGCTGTCAGATCTTGTAGACTATCCATTTCTTGTACCCACGTTTTTAAGCAAATGCTTCAGAAAAAAGTTAATCTTCATGAGGTCATTCGCACAGAAACAGATCGCGAAATTATTACCAAGTCAAAGACGTGCAGCGATATGTGTATGCATCCTTGCTTTGGTGTGGCTTTCATCTCGAGTGTACAAAAGAAAACATTCAACAAATTGTTTACTTGTGGAAACGGTGTAAGGTCTCCGTGATACAAGGAAAGCAATCTGGAGGTGTACTAAAACATATCCCTTTAAATCCAAGTAGAGTCGTATATTGGGAGAGTGTGGCGACGAAGGCGCTGGAGAGGAGAAAAGTGAAGGAAAGGGAGGAGTGCCGAAGAAGCGAGAGGAAGGAGGAAGCTAAGACGAGACGACCGCCGTTTTAATGCCACGGGCTGTCAGCACCGAGCACTGTTGAGGCTATGCGTCGTCTGCTACAATCTTATTTCTTTTTCGCTGAATAAAAGTTTGCGCTGAAACTTGCCGAAACTTCACTCATTAGCTTTTCAAGTCACCGAGGAATAACACTACATCATTTTCTTGCCAGAGCCTGCCAAATAAAAGGAAAGAACCTAAATTTGGGTGCCGATCCTACGCATTCCACTGGGCGAATGAATGAAAATGGCGGCCCTCCCCGCTTGGGTGAGAGCAGCCGGGAGTTAACGCGCATGCGCTCACGCCTCTCGCTCTGGGCCGCAGGCCGATTGGCTCACTCGGGAAGGGGGCATTATGGCGGCGAGATCAGACTGGCCAAACTCTCCCGATATACGGCTCTGAATCAAAGCACTAGCAGGTGAGTCAGCTTTGCAGCAATGGAAACTGGGAGTGACTGAACACAGAATGCACTGTGATAGCCATAGTTCTGGTTTCTGTTTTCTCTAGTAGTTTTGCATTGTAACTATGCGACGCCGGAGACTGTGAAAGTCGTATAAGAAAGCGTCCTTCTACGTGCTCGCTGAAATTGTTCCCTGGTACCGAGCCAAATTTGCCTCGTGAAAGAGTGAAATGCACTGCCTTGATGCTGCAGGCATGCTAGTGCTTGCTTTGTGTCATCAAAAACTAAAAAGAAAATGCTAGGCTCTAATACAGTTAGTGTGATTGCAGTCATTCAAAGAAAACGTTCCAATCTTCATGCAGCATGCATTTTAAAAGTTCCTATCACTTAGTGCACCCCTACATTCGGGCAATGCCACTGGACACAATGTCGCGGATTATTGTCACAATAACAAAACAGTTCTAAAATCACAGTTACCTTCACACACACAAAAATGGGATTTGTACATTCTAACGAAGAAGCGGCCTTCCAATTAATATTCTCGGTAGACCCAATTTCAGCTGCTGTTTGGTGCACAAACAAGCACGGCAGCCAATCGGAGATCAGTTTTTGCGCACGCTTAAGTAAATCATTTGACACAACGTACAGATAAATACACTTCACAGCACCGATGACACCGATGAACTTATAAACTGAAAGCGGAACAAACCGGCACATTCCGATTGTGACAGTTGGAATTAAACTTATACGAAACTGGCCGCCTGCACAATAAATACCGTAATCGCCACCATTTCCACTGTTTACTGGTAATGCGTTTCCCATGCTCCTTTTGTGTCCTACACACCTTGTTCTTCCTTCAAACGGGCAAACGCAGAACCGACGAGTAGCTACTGCCGCAATGCCCAAAAAACATTGTAGCAAAGTCTTCGAAAAGATTAATCTATACCATCACTATGGTGCTTGGAAAGCGTCTCCGACCGGTCTGTTCACCATGACCTAAAACGCAGTCCCTCGATTTCCGCCGGATGACATTGTAGATGTGTCACGTTGTCACCAGCCGTGATCCTGGTAGTGTCGCAGCGGGTTGGTGAATGTGGCAGGTGCCCGTTCTGCAGCACGTTGCTCGGCAGCTTGGCAGCCAGGAGATGGGACGCCACGACGACGGCGACACTTGCGTTCACTCGTGCTTTTCGCAAGCATTTCTAGGGCCAACAGCGTGACATTCCGTTTGTTGCCACATCGGAACCACTTTTGATGTACGGGCGAGATGGGGTACTAAACGCACTTAGTCGGAGACGCATTGCAGGCACTACAATTATCACATTCTCGATCTGCATTAAAAAAAAGAGCCACCTTTTTCATTTTTTACGCTTTCTTAACCCGTGGATTTCGGACGCACGTACAAGGCACGACACGGATGGCACGAACGCACAATTGTCGGTTGCTCGGCTCTCTCTCGCCTGCCATCCGGTTCGTTAGCGTGGTGGTGTATGCGAATGAACCGAACCGACTGGGGCGGTAAAGTTTGGTGTTCAAGGCCGAGCTGTACGAGCAAACAAGTGAACACGTCGACGGTGTCGCATTCGGGCTAACCGTGTCATGTGACGTAACTGCAGCGATGCCGGCCATTTGTTGAGTTCAACATAAAGCACTGTAATGAAAATGAGGCTTACTGTAATGTGAAACGGCAAATAAAAAAGAGGTCGGGGCAATGTTTATGAACTGCCAGACACGTTGACTAACCCCTCCCACCCCCTACTTCCATATTCGCCTTGCCCCAACATATGACGCGAGTGATGCACGGCTGATCGTCCCCTCCTCTATAGTCTGTTTCGTCCGCCGACGCACTTTCCGCCGTCACTCCTCTTCGTCCAGCTCGAGTTCGAGCTCTTCGATCTGGGCTTCGACCTCGCCGCGTCTCGCCAGCTTCTCTAGCTGTTCCTTCTCCGGATTGGCCAGCTCTCCCGACTCGATCTTCAGCTTGAGCGCGTCTATGTCCCGCAGTTTCTTGCGCAGGTTCCGCAGCCTCTTGGCTGGGTCCGTCACGGCCGCCGCCGGCGCGGTGGCAGCGCTTTTCTGCGTTTCCTCCAGCTTCACCTTGGATTCGAGTGAGGATGCGAGCCGGTCTAGACTCGCGTTGTTGGCTCCGTCGCCCTCGCCCTCGGTGCCCGCTTTTTTCTTCTTCTTCTTCTTTTTCTTTTTGGCAGCGGCGTCTGGGTCGTTGCGCGCCGCCTCGCGAGCCTTCAGCTCCTCAATCTCGGCCTGGGACAGCCCCACGGGGTAAGAGAGGCCGGGTGTCTGACTCTTGGCCCACAGCTTGCCCTTGCTCTCGTACCTACGAGAGAAAAGGAAATGCGCACGGTCCGTTATATATTCCACCAAAAAAGTCTGCGAAGTAAATTAATTTTATTCTAATTGCACCGTATTTGCCACATTGTTCTCATCTCTTTGTCCCATCGTATTTTTTAAGGTATTTGTGCTCTTACAAGAAGAGCACGGCAGTACAACTAATATGCATCCTCCCCCTTTTTAAAAAAAGTATAGTTGTAATAGAGTTTTAAAAAGGCATTTCCAGAGTATTGCAATGCATTTGTAAGCAATTTATTTTTTACCTCGACCTTTCGCAAACTGCAGTACTGCAATTACTTTTGCAAAAGGTCATTCGACACTGACAATTTGATTATCATAAGACAGTAGGCGAGCTGGTAGGTGCTTGCGGCAAAGACTTGCGACTAAACTAAAAGGACAAACAACATAACGTTGCAACTTGTACGCTCTACCACGAAAAAAGGGGGCAAAATTTAGATGCTTTAAGGAAAGCTGCAAAGCATGCAGTGATGTGATTGCTGTGCCATTTGCACCAAACTGCGCCGAAGAACTTGCCCTGCAACATCCTGCTACATTTAGCCCAAATGTGAGGAACTTGCAACAACATTGCGCCAAAACTTGATTTCACTCCATTAAATACTGAAATATATTGGCTCAGACCCCGCTACACGTGTGGATCGTTATGGTAGGCTTGTGCGAATTTTCAAAACTTTAGATTTTAGCTGCAAATGACATACTATACTATTTGATCTCTCTATCAATGTTAAACCCTGACAGTACTCGGAATTTTCGTAATATCTCGTGTTCCTTGTCTGCTCTGGCATGTCAGTTATCTTTGTTGAGTGCGCTTTTCACCGCGCTCTTGTGTACTGCAGTGAAGCGATAAACGCAAAGTAAGCATCGCAATTTTGCCTATCTCGCTTCACCGCAGTGCATACGAGGGCTGAAGGGAAAGCATTCCCCCAGAGCGGGACATTAAACACGCAAACGTCACATATATTTTAAAAAAAGGAACTTTTTGAATATTATTATAACAGCTCTTAGTTGTAGTAAAAATTTCTGAATTATACTGAGGCTATTGCTTATGATAGACTGCAGCATTCTTGCAATATCTTTTTTCAAGTTCGTGATTTAGCGAAGGTAAAAATTTATATGAACTGCTCTAGGTTTATTTTTATTTGAACTCCGTTGTTTAGTTGTCACCTTTATAGATGCTTTATTCATTCGAGCTACAATCAATGCAGAGCACAAGTTCGTCTGCCTCTTTTGCAGGGGTTGTGACATCAGAATGCCCAACTCTGATTGAAGGATAGTCTGCAGACGTTAAAACAAGCTGCCCTGGTCTACCCACTGTCCTTCAATCGGAGCTTGGCATCTTTTTGACGTCAGCACAACTCCTGCGCAAGAAGCAGACGACTCGCTTTCAGCATAGAATAAAAGAGTGCCACTAAATAAGCTACGCTTCAGAGTAACGACACTTGGCCATATTGTGTCTTAAAATCATGGTTGCCAGTTATCTGAAGCTTTATCTGAAATCACAGGAAACGTCTTTCCGCCCTCCACAAATGTTTAAACAGTTTGTGACAGAGCAAAGCAATATTGCGTGACCTTCTTAACAACGAATCTAAATCTGAGGAAGTCGCACTTGTGAATCATGACGATCGGCAGTTGCGTCTGCTCTGCATACGAGCCAAAATGGCGGCGCCCACAACAATGCCGGGGAACGGAGTGCCGATACTCTAAGCGCAGCTCATTTAGTGACTCTAGAATAAACAAACCAAGTTAGGTGAAACAGTAGGAGGAAGCTTGGGAATAACCTGAACAGCTTTGGCTGGATCTCTGTTATTATAAGGTTCTACGTAACAAATGTCATTAATTTTCATAATTTATGACAAAAGCCTTCTTTTTTAATCTGACTTAAGAATTTTCGTTTTATAACAACCTTTAAACTTAATTGAGACAATTTGTGGGCTCAAGATTATTCTAACAATATTTTAGTGAAATATACGATCTGGTTTACATTTTATTGTGCCTAAAATGATCATTCACAGCAGTCCATACTGTCCTTCGTCGATCAGCATCTTGTTGCTGTGCCTAGTGCTTCTATTTGCAACTAAACAACTAGGTCTGTGTAATCAAGTTTGCCATTGCACAGAAGTGTGCATGCACGTTTTTTAGTTGGATAGGCCAACACACGAATCTTAACATAATATTCACAGTGGTATAAATAAAAATGGAGTGTGTGCTTGTGCTCCAAAAGTACTTTTTGCTGCTCCATACCAGAATTTCGGCTGCTAAAAAATGACTCAGGTCGATCGCATCACTGAGCATGAAAAAACAAATGTGTTCAAACTGAACATTATTCTCCAAGTTGGCCAATAGCAGAGGTGATAAAGGAGATGGGTAGGAAATACTGGATGAGCCAGGTCAAAACACACCCAGTATTTCCTATGGTATCGCCTCTGGAATAATACTATAAAAAAAAATATATCTCTAATGCAACAAAGATGGTTATATACAAGGCATGTGTAAAAGAATATCAAGAAAATGTGAAAATATGTACACCCAGAGTTTGACATCAATCTGTCCTACGCTCTGGGTACAAGACTGATAGATGCTTAAGAGGGAGCACACCCTGGAAACCCCACAAAGAATACATGTAGTTTGTGAAACATTCTCACACGATAACCGTTGCACAGATTTCTTGTATTACTTTAAAGACACTGACACATTATTGAGAAATTAAACAGCACGAATATGAAATTACAATTTCTTTTATACTTATAAGAAAATGATGAAATTGGTCAAAATCAGTTGTTTTGGCACTTTTCACATTTAAAGGCAGTTTATAAAGTCCTCTTAAAGGACCCATGAAACGAATTTTGGGCTGGAGTAAATCAATTTATATTGGGATTTTACTAATAGCACATCGTTCAGTGGACCAAAAGAACAAAGGTAGAAAGTCAGAAGCCTGACTTTCGCTACAAAAATTTGCAAAACATAACGGACTATTTCGTACCTCCTTCCCTTCGTAAACTCTCCGCCTTTTCACTGTGATACATCCGCGGGCCCCGCAGCGCGTCACCGAGCTACTAGCCACCATAACCGGGCCCCCGCAGCGCGTCACCAGGGCCCAAGCGCACGTCACACGGCACCGGACCTCACTTAATCTCTTTACCCCTAAGCTGACATTGCGGTGGAAGCTACGCGCTTGCCGGACCAATCAGCCGCCTCCCTTTCATCACCTGACCTCATTCTCTGCGGGTCGGTATGCGCGAGAGGGCGTGATCACGTGGAAAATGTGTGGCTGGCCCAACGAGCACGTAGCTTCCACAGCACTGTCAGCTTCGGGGTGAACGGGGTGGGGAAAGCAACTAGTCGGAATTTTGAGCGACGGGCTAATCTTCTAGGGGGACAATGGCTGTGTCCGGGCTACACAAGCGAGATTCTGAGCAAGAGGGGACGCCCTTCTTTCCGACTTCTTGAACTGTTTGGTACAATGCGCGATTTATGAGTTGAGGAGGAAAGCTAAACAAAAAAAAGTTGAAAAAGCGTTTCATGACTCCTTTAATTACATGTAAAAACGTCTCCCGTTCTGTGTCTTTTAAATTTATTGCAGAACCGAATGACATAAAAATTACTGACTTAAGTCCATCCGTTTTGTAACAACAACGAATTACAAGAACCAAGAGATTTGTGCTTGTTTTCTTTATTTTCATGTTTCTGTTTCCCCCGAGATGGCGCTCGCTGTCCGTGAAGAGTATAAAGGGGCCGTAATGTAGTTCGGCAGCTCGGCTTTGTTCTCAATGTTCCTCCACGCGTGCATGTGCCATTTCAGTATTCAATCTGCATGGCGGACGCACCTGTAATGTGTTACCTCGCTTTCCCGGAGGGTGCCCCTCCTCCCTCGAGCGACACCAACACCTCTTAGACTAAGAATGCGTCAACGCTTGTGAGTCGGAATGCAAAGGTGGCGGAGAGGGAAGGCCATGACCCCAACAACCGGTGGCAGTGGCCGGCACCGCCACGAGTCGGCCTGTGCTATGAAATGTGTTACGTTTTAGTGTGAACATTTTGTTTAAGAACATCTTTCAACGCAGTTCTTAGGGTGGACCTACTCGTAAACAATGACTTCCAGACGTTTGTGAAGATGGACGTACGAGCGTACACGTGCCAAGATATGTAGTACATTTCAATCATAACTTTTGTGCCGTCTTCCAACTGTTATGTTTGTGCTTTAACAACCAATCGACATGCCGTCTTCCAACTGTTATGTTTGTGCTTTAACACCCAATCGACATGCCGTGCATGCGGTGCAGTGGTGGAACTGCTGCGCCAGAACGAAAACCCTGCTATATGCTGCTCCAAAGATTGTATTTGTGCACAATTTGCGCCATGTCTGTGCCAAAAGGGAGCTGCTCTCAAAAAGAAAACTGAAAGTGTCTGGCACGTGGCATTCTTGGCAATGCCACTGAAAATTAAGAAAGTATAGTTGTTTTTTCGGATGCATAACTACTTTGTGCAAAGAGTGGGGCTGCGCGAATATTCGAATTACCAAATACTAGTTTCAAATTATACGCTACTTGATATTCGCTTCAAAATCAACTGTAATATTCGTACTTTCCGAAGTGTTGATAGCAGCGGGTTAGCCCCCTTGAGTGCGCTTCTCCTCAAGCCCCGACGTACTGCGCAGAAGCAATACCCGCGAAGCTGACACCGCGATCTCGCGAATCGCTTCACCGCAGCGCAACTGCGCACTTAAGTAAGCCTGAACTCCATGGAGCGAATTATGCGACGAATATCTGACGAACGTCGCCCCAAGGCGCGCTCGCTTTGCATGCGATGTAGCAGCCACTGTGCTGGTTCCACGTGCAGAGCAAAAACCGCCGGGCGAAATTCACCGCTTTTTTGCAGCATATTCGTCCCATGGAGCTCAGCCTTTAGGCGAAAAACACACCTTCAAAGTGATATAGCACACGTGCGCACCTGGTTTAATAAAAAAGAAAACATTGTGATTGCCGATATTTATATCGCAGAAAAATCTTCAAAATTTAACTGTGGCTTTTATGCAAAAATGTATGCTAGGCAGCGATGTTTTAACAACCTGTGTTCATTACTTGTACTTGTTCTGTGTTAATTCAGATTTAAAGAAAATATTTTCATATACAGGGCTGGAAGCAAGCTGCAACCTTTTGGAGCATGTCTGGGAGCAGCAAAGATGCCACTTTGGAGCAGTGACAGTTCTGCTCTGGAGCAGCTCAGGAGCAACAAAAGTCAAGTTTCGCAGCAGTATAAGCAAATCTTGGAGCTGGTCACCCAGGTCAAACATGGGACCATAAGCACAAATGTAATTTTCTAAATACAAGAAAAAAAAAATATATATAAATGAAACATTTAAAGGGGGCCGAGGGCCCCACAAGCTGCGTTTGTAGCTTTTTTCCTCGGCCTCCTCCATTCTGTATGAAATGGAAAACCAATAAAGAAAGAAAGAAAGAAAAAGCATCTCCATGTGACGTTCCAGAACCATTCCCAAACATTACCTTTCCTTAAATATATTCCACCAATAGCATAAAAAATATTTGAATGGCAGCTATTGAGAATTGTCCTGGTAGCCGGTTGGCTCCTCTCATGGATTTACAATAGAAGGCACAGTCAACAAAAGAAGCTCAACTTAAGCCTTATGAAAACAAAACATTGTGCTCATTTAACAACCTAACTCACATGTTCCATAAGTTAAAAACAAAACCATTTCAAGCTGCAATAGTATGGTATGAAATAAAGTCCAGTACTGACCACAGTTCATTATTAGGAAATACAAATGTTTCAAGTCCCTGTTTAGAAAACAAAAGCATCCCAATACTCAACAGAGTACAAATCTACTTTGATAAAAGTACAAATGCAAAATGTCGAAAACTTCATGATACCACCTATATCATCCCTGCTCACACTCGATTAACCCTTACTAAAACAAACATGACTTACTAAAAGAAAAAAGAAAAGGGTTGTTTGGGAGTTTAATGGAAAAAAAGTCAGACAAACTACCAAGTAAGACCATAAAAGTTTTCCTGACAAGTCAATGCTGAGAGCAAGTGTGTCTGCTTCTTGCTCAGTGGTTGCGTGACGTAGGAACACCGCGCTCGTGACGTCAGAATGCCGACATCTTATTGGCTGATTGAAAAAAATAGTGGGTAGACCTTAAAGGCTCGTTCACACTCTTGCAACCGAGTACGACCGAGAAGGACCAAACCGGTTTTTAAGCCTTTTGCGACTTCTTAGGACCGGATGCGATGCAGCGGAGCTGGTCCTAAGAGATCGCAAGAGGCTTAAAAACTGGTTTGGTCTCTCTCGGTCGAACTGGGTTGCAAGAGTGTGAACGGGCCTTAAGGCACCTAGCATTGAGGTCGACTCACTATCACTTCGATCAGAGCCAATCGGAGCTCGGCGTCGTTCTGAAATCACCGCACCTCCTGCACAAGAAACAGACGACTTGCTCTCCGCATTGCTTGGATGCGTTCTAGCGCAACCGGTTTAGAATTTGCTTCGCTCGGCAGGACATTTCCACTGTTTTCCTCGTCCTCTCACCGGATTGCTGTTTGTGTGCCAGCACCTGTATTCGCCACGTACGTCGTTTACAAGAAAGTCTACAGAAGATCGAGGCAACCAATTATCGCTTTTATATGTTACGCTTACGACAAAAACGAGGAGCGCGGAAGCGGTCTCAGCAAAAGGACACACCCCAAACACGCAAAAAAGTAGAAAATATTATGCCAAATGTTTGTTTAATTTTGTAGAGTAGTTTCACTTTCCCCAGAGATTAGATGATAGGTGAACACACGCGAGCAGGCTCTAATGTATGTTTATATACCACAAAGTCCTGAAAGAACACCCACCCAAGAAGAAAAGGTTAATGGTGTGTGTGTGTGTGTTACATTTACTCTCCTATCTGACTTTCCACAACGCTGAAGCGTCCGTTCTTTTTTGGCAGCATTGTTTCGTCTGAAAGTCTCGATTGATTCAATAAATTTAGAAGACTTGACCACAAGTTATGCTAGTTTAAGTATTATATAAAGATAAGTTTCACGTGTTACAACGTCGGACGATTAAAAATGTCCGATCACATCCTTCGTACATTCATTACCTTCATAACATTGTGACACCTTGTATCTTATTCTTTCCTCATTGATATTTCCTTTACTGTGAATTACAGCTGATGTGGTACAAGTATGACAGCATTCCCGAATTTGAGCGTGAGCTCAGTGCACAGACGAAGCACTTGAAACCAGGAAAATATCAATGAGATTTAATTTTTGAACCCTGTGCTCACTTATTCTCACCAAGTACACAAAATGTTTGGCTTTTGTCACAATCATGCGGGGTTTGTATTAAATTGATGGACACCATAACATAAGAATTTTTCTCCCAGGAAAAGATGAGGCAAAAGTCTGTGATGCACTGAAACAGTCCGTCATTTCAAACAACAGAAAACAGCTTTTGTAACTCGCTTTGCGTTTCAAATTAGTACTAATGATGAAAGGTGATTTTCAAATTGGTTAACAAAATTGATTTTCAGTTGGAGAAATGAAGAAAGGTGGTTAAAAAACTACTACACTTATGTCTAGTAATTCATAATCGTGCGATCAGCCAGAAAACAGCAAGTTTTCGACGAGTATTTGTCCTTATACACACGCGGATCTGTTGAGTGGTAACATTTTACAGCTCGATAATTTTCTTCTTCGCAAAGTGCCACTTGACGCAAAAAAGGATGTCTCCACACTGTCACAGACAGAATTCTCGGCACACTGTCTCCGAGCAACTACAAGTGCCACTTGCAGAAGCGCGCAGCGCAGAGGTCGATCTCGGCCCCTGTGCAATACGCGCAGTGGTCGACGAGCATGTCTTTCCGAGTCTTTCCTGTGCCAGAGCTCTGCCCCGCACGTGCGTGCCAGTGTGCTGCCACGCGCACTCAGGAGGGGCAACGCACGCCGAATTCGAATCCCCAAACAGCAGACGTGCGAGAAAGAGGGGGACTGTTCCTCTGCACAACACTGACCACACAACATGTTTGGGTCTACTTTTTTTTTGTAAGAAACGTGGCGGAGTTGAGTTAGCGACTTATTGATGGTGCAACGCGACGATGACTGAGCCACAACTTGCGCGACATCTGTATTCTGAAAAGAGAGAAATGAAGCAGACTCTGTGCGCTCTTAGAGAAACGATGAAGACGATTTGGAAGTTCAATTTAGCGATTGAAATAGATGTCAGGTGTCTTCCAGTTCCAGGTAATGTTGATGATGTTTTAGCCAAAAGTTGAGCTTGCGCGTTGCACAAATTAATTTAACAGATCCAGCAATAATCATGCCGGGACCCCAATGACAGCGACACCCGAAATTCAGAAGAAATTCAGCTTTAGAGTCGAGTGGACTGTGACATCGATTGAGGCTTGTTAGGCGTTGGTTCGAAGTAAACGAAATCCGCTCGTTTTCGATTTCAATCGCAAGTTGTTAAAAAAAAAGAAACATGCTTTTGGAAATGCAATATTGAAAACCATATATTTTTTGGACGAAAGGTGTACTGCAATAGAAATAGAATACCATTTCAGTCTGCTGTCGCGGGAATTCAAATAGCCGAGCGCTTTTCACTCGTGAATATTGGGCGTGGACTGACTTGAAAAGCATTCAGTGTGGCAACAACAACATATGTTGTTTTTTTTCTTAAGAAAAAAAAATGGTGCATCATAGTTGTGTATGTTTTGTCACACGACTCTTGGTTCCACGTGTGGAGGGAGCTGCAGAAACTGTTCCAGGCTGATGCGCTGCGGTTCCCGGTACTCCTCCAGGTCCATGTCAAAAAACCTCTGTCCGACCTCGTCTACCCCATCTTTCTTGCACATCCATCCAGCCTTTCATCCAGCGAGACCTTTCTGCGCCTGTGGTGTACTGAAGTGTTGTGCGGGAACAAAGACATTGGTAACCTCCCCTGTGCAATCCCAAGACTCCATCACTTACACGCCGAGCTTCCTCGAGCAGGACGCACATTTGTGTCGTATCTTGGGTTAGCAAAGCTGATGCCGTCCGCGTTAAGCCTGTTATGGTGTTTTGTCTCACTTGATACTTACCAGCGACATGCAACAATTTTTGTTTTTCGTAATGCGGTAGCACTGCTCGCAACTCAATTGGCAATAAACTTGTCGACCAAATATGGCTGCTTGTAGTCTCTAATTACTGATAATATTTGCCTGGTTTCTCAAATTTAGTCTTCGTTTCCCTAGCCCATTCTCTCACTTTCCTCTTCAACAAGTCCCAAAAAGGCCACCAGCAAAGGCAGGATTAATTTCTGTTCTTGTATGTTCCCAGATTTCCCTCAAAGCAGCATAACCCCCCCTCCTACTTTGGGTTTAACCTTAGGTGCTCGTTTTGACACCGAGCATTGTGGACTCACAGCGGGACCTCCTCCTGGGGCACATAGCCATCCTTGACGCGTCTCGCTTTCCTCCAAGTGCCGTCCGGACGCTGCGTGGCAGGGATGTACGACCCTGCAAGGGAGCCGCACTTACTTTAGCGGTGCTTCGGTGGCACACTATACTCGGCGTCAGCTTTCTTGTGCTACGCTGTCAAGGCTAGCTTAGTTTCCACAATGCTGCAGCCCTGCACTGCATGCTGCCCGAACAGTTGGCTATGCCTTGCGTCTTATTTGCGCGCGCCCGCGCAAGTGCTTTGGCAGCGCTGCGGAAATTACTTGGGCTTGACAACGTAGCACAAAAAAAAAAAAAAAAAATTAATGTGGGGAGATTTTTTTTAAACATCATTGAGAATTTTGTGACGCCAACTCATTTTCAAAAAACCCGCGCATGTTTTTTTTTTTTTTCTCTGAGTTTGATTTTTGTTTGCTCGTGCATCTAGTGAGTAGTGTAGTGACGCTAAACTTCCATACGTTAAGCTTCATCCCATAACGTTAAGTTTCACAGAACGATACGAAGTAACCACACAGGCTGCAGACTTTCGTTTTGCCTCCATCATCTGGTGCGCTCTACTTGGAAGTGTCGCACCGCGAAGGCAATATCCATCGACACCGATACCTGCCAGTTTCCGAACCTGAACGCTATCCAGCGCTTGACTTCGATCAGCAGAATGACAAAACGAAAGGACCAAAAAGCCCTATCTCATTCGACAAGTTGCAAATAATCCCTAAAGCGCTTGATTCATGGAAACAATCTGGCAATTCAGGGTGCAGATTACAGCAAAGCCGGCAGTAGCCGAGCTATCTACGGCGCTAGTGAATTTGAAACGGCTTTATTTTTTTTTTTTTTTTTACCTACTTAATAAGAGCCCGCTTGCATAGATGCATACAAGATTGCGCAAAGCCTATGTGGTGCACACGCCCGGCCAAAGGGAGATTAAACGAATGGATCGTTATTCAAAGCGCCGGTTCCCTCAGATGCGAACCTCCTGCTACAAAGCATGTTTTCTGGACATCCACAGCGACCAGAAGCCGGCCATGCGGCATGGTCGCTGCTCGATATGCTGAACTTGCTGAAGCTACGGAATATATACTGCAAGACTGAAGGCACGCGGAAATAAATGCAAAGCTTGAATAAGACGCGAGATCTCCGGTGATGAGAAAAGAAATACCTTTTTCGTCGGTCGCGTACAAAGCAGCCGCATCTCCGGACGCCATTTTGCTATCGCGTCCCTCTAGCGGGCAAACTAATTTATTAAATATTTAGACTAAAAAAAACAACACAAAAAGTAACCGGTAAATCTTTATAGTTAGGTAAATTCTATCCTCGCCCATGAATAATTACAAAATTAGATTTAATTTTTGTAAACATTGCGCGTTCATAAACCATTAGGCATAGCCATGGTCACTGCAAACGAAACGAAACTGAACACCGCTCCGACTCGCTCCGACTGCAAGCGCGTGTAAACGCGCGAAGCATCCGAAAAAATTACTAAGTTTCTCTGAAACCACCTGAAACAAACATTTGTACCTTCTCACATATTTCGCTTTGGCTCGAAACACGTGTTCGCTTCTCAATATATATCTGAAAAAAACTTTGGAGGACGCCTAGAGTCGTATTTTTCGTCATTTTTCGTATAATCGAAATATCGCTTTGATCAGTGGGGCAGCACAAACGGTACGAATATCTCTAAATCTTTTACCTGACGTTTCATAGTACAAAAGCGGGAACTTCAGAAACAACGGCGGCCCTAGTTTGAGATTTTGGGAGAGGAAAAGACCATATACCTGCCCGTCCAGCTTGAACTTTTCAAACTTTAGTCCCGCAAATAATAATAATGTTTATTTGCTCGCGAGAGCCGCCGTACCGCAGAAATTCATCAGCCCGTATCATGGAGGCCCGCGGTGCCGCGTGTACTGATGGTGATTATGTGATGATGTAATATACAAGATGAAAATGATGGTGATTGATATTGTGACGTCGTCCGAGGTGGAGGGTGGAGACGACAGCGGGGCGCGAGCAAGTCCGGACGTGCGCAGTTGGGGGTGACACACGGGAGCGGGGAGTGCACGGACGGGTTTACTGCGGTTGATCGAATGCCAATTCATCGAAGCACGTTTTAGAGAATGTGTATGAAGGCAGAGCCTCAGTTTAGAGAAATGCCGTTTATCGAAAAGGGGACGTTATTTAAAAAGGCTTTCCTACTTCGCGCGCGGAGGCATGCGGTTTAGAGAAGCTCGCTTTAGCGAACGCCGTTTTACCGACCCCGGTTGATCGAATGCCTTTATACCCAGTTTAGAGAAAATGGCGACGAGCCTCCTTTTAGCGAATTCGGCCGCCGCGAAGCGGTGTGTACGGGTAAATCATGTGAGTTCACATTTTTGTAATGAGCCGCCGCAGACTGCCGCCGCAAAGCGGCGGGAGCGCAGCGGGAACTTCAGAAACCACGGCGGCAATCATATTTAAGCGTCTACCTTTTATGCGGTTTCTACGTCTCTTGGGGTTCGGGCAAGCCAGCGGGCACGGAAAGAGTAGCTAAATATCAGTGCGCCATATTTTAAACGGACGACACGGAAACCTCCTCCACCGACGAGGGCGACCCGCGGTACCGAAAGCGCGCAAAATGTGACGTCTTTGGTCCTGGGCTTACTACTGGTCAGAGCCACTAAAAACTTCTTTTTGGTCGAAATACAAAATATAAGTAGCGCGAACCGTTTCAATTATTTATAAAAGTAGTTTTTGTTCACTATTATAGATGAAAAAAAAAGAAAGAAATGCAGTTTATAAAGTACGGAAACAAAAAAATGACCCGTCGACATACCCGCCGCCAAGCGGTGGAAAAGGCGGCGCATACTAGAAAGGAGTAGTGGGATAAGGCGCCGACACGGAAAATTCCCGGACGTACGCGGTGGCGCTGCATTCGTATGGACAGAAGGATCCGACCGGCTCCGAGCGTTCCGAAGGCTTTCGGCCAGAGGCTTTGTCTTGCGGTTTGGCCGTTTCGCGGTATGGCAGCGCGAAGTGGCTCCCATTTTGAACTGATCTTTACTTCGTGTTTGCTTTCGTTTGTGGCCAATGAAGTGTCATGCCGAATTAGTGTTTAATCGCGCCACAAACGCAATGAAAGCCGCTTTGGCTGCCCGCTGCATACAGCCTATCCAGAACATGCTTTAGTGGCGCCCTCTGGCGCCGTCGACACGTAGTGCGGCGGCCGTGAGCGCTTGATGAGCTCACTATTCCTCCCCTAGTTCACGGCCACTCAAGGCAGGACCTGCGACGTCATGAAGGAGGTTATTTTTTACTTGTTTTTGTAATTCTAAATTGCCTATAACTTTTAAAATAAGGCGAATTTCGCGAAAAGAAAAGTTTCACTAAGTTACTACGTTCAATGCGCTCAGGTTCGGTGCAAATTAAAAAACAGTAAAAAGTCCTTGCAGGGCCCCTTTACGCGCAGCAGTGATACACGCGAAAAGTACGAAAGCCTTTTTTTTTTTTTTTTTTTTTTAAGCGTCTACTTTTTGATAAACGGCGTCTCTCTAAACTGAGGCTCTGCTTTCTCTAAACCATGCTTTGATAAAGCGTGCCCATTCTCCAAAACGTGCTTCGATGGAATTAGAGCACTATATAGCTCCTACGGAGCAGAGTAGCGCAATCCTTTGAACTCCGTGTTTTGCCGACAACATGGCCGACAGAGCGGCTCGGCGCGAGTCACGTGGTACTCAGGGTTCCAGGAGGCGGCCTGCCCTATGGGAGAATACATGGAGATCGACACAACACGGCTGATTAAAAGATGAACGGCGAGTTCACACTTTTCAAAACTAGTCTGTCGTGAAGTTAGTAAAGCACTAAACCATTTATAAAAGTTTTAATAATATCGGATGCATGTGCAAATTTTGAGAAGGCAATTTCCAACGCAATGGCGTTTGAAGCAGACGATTTTTTCTCGCAGCGGAGATGGGCTTTTCGGGTTAGCCGGAGCGGGTCACGTGAATGGTGTGACGTCGCCGTGTCGTCTGCTGCATGATGCCGCTCAGGCAATTTTTTAAAAAAAGTCACGTCCTTGCGGGGCACAAAACTTAGCGCAAATTATTCTAAAATGTTCCATTATTATGTCAAAAACAATTGCCATTCCGTACGACCCCACAATACTGAAGAAACAACGATTTTCTCACGTTCTCCATGCATTTCTGACCACAGTTGGAACCTCCGGGCGTTCGCCGCTAGTCGCCGAGAGGCGGCGTTCTAGATTGCGCTACTCCAGAGCCGTATATTGGGAGAGTTTGGCCAGTGGGTGTGGCGACGAAGGCGCCGGAGAGGAGAAAAGTAAATGAAAGGGAGGAGAGCGCCGAAGGAGCGAGAGAGAAAGATGGGAGCAGAGAGGAGACGACCGCCATTTTTTAGCAACGCTGTCGGAGTCTGGTCGGAAAAGAGCACTGCTGAGGCTACGCGTCGTCTGCTACGGGTCGACTTCTTTTTCGCCTGAATAAAAGTTTGTGGCCATACGCCGAAAAATCTTCATTTATTAGCTTTTTAACCCACCGAGGAATAACAGAATGTCATTTTCTTGCCAGAGCCAGCGATATAAAAGGCAATAATCTAGATTTAGATGCTGATTCCACGCATTCCGCCGGGAGAATGATTGAATATGGCGGCCCTCCCCACTCAGGTAGGAGCAGCCGGGAGTTCACGCGCATGCGCTCATGCCTCTCGCGCTACGCCGCGTGCTGATTGGCTCACTCGGGAGGAGAGCGTTACGGCGGCGAGATCATAGACTGACCAAACTCTCCCCATATATGGCTCTGCGCTACTCCAGAGCCGTATATGGGGAGAGTTTGGTCGCTTCTCCTTCTGCTTCTTCGGCGCTCTCCTCCCTTTTATTTACTTTTCTCCTCTCCGGCGCCTTCGTCGCCTGGCCATACCCACTGGCCAAACTCTCCCAATATACGGCTCTGCGCTACTCTGCTCCGAAGGAGCTATATAGTGCTCTAGATGGAATGGCATTCGATCAACCGTAGTAAACCCCTTCGCGCGTGTATCACTGGTGAGACAGGTGGGGAAACGAGAGCCAAATGAGCGACCGGATTGTGTCCCCCTCGGTTTTTTCTTTCTCTGTGGCGCCATCTTTGTGAAGCATCGCGAACTCTCACTCCGGGTGGGCGACCGGAGGCGACCGGCTAAACTGACGGAGATGGTTTCTCGTAAATTTTCAATGCAGGACTGTCGTGCTCTTGGTTCATTTTGCGCACTCTCCCATAGAGTTACACGAAAATCCGATTCCGATTTTTTTTTCCTCTCGCCGCAGCGCCATCTGTCGCTAATCGGGGATGCCCGCAAGCAGACGACTACACAATCCGGTCACGGCGCTGCGGTAGGCTTCTATGGGTAGGGAGCAGGGTGTAAGATAGACAGGTGGGGAAACGGCCCATAGAAACCTACCGCAGCGCCGTGACCGGATTGTGTACTCGTCTGCTTGCGGGTGGCTTGCGGGTACCCCCGATTTGCGACAGATGGCGCTGCGGCGAGAAGAAAAAAATTGGAATCGAATTTGCATGGAACTCTATGGGAGAGTGCGCAAAATAAACTGAGAGCACGACAGTCCTCCATTGAAAATCCACGAGAAACCTTCTCCATCAGTTTAACCGGTCGCCAGCGTTCGCCCTCCTGGACTGAGAGTTCGCGGTGCTCAACATAGATGGCGCCACAGAGAAAGAGAAAACCGAGGGGGACACAATGCGGTCACTCATTTGGCTCTCGTTTCCCCACCTGTCTATCTTACACCCTGGTAGGAAGGCTCTAGTGAGGGTGGGCGAAACTCAAAACCTGGAGAGCGTTTGCAATTTAATGGCGGCGCCTGAGGGAGAGGATTCGAGAAGGATATGCACCAATGTTGCCTGCATGAGAGCAGGCGCCCGCTGTGTTGCAACTCTGTTGCTCCATGCTCCTTTCCTCCTCTCTCCTCCCATTGCAAGCAACGAACGCCTTGGCGCAGCCTCTTTCGCTTCCTTCTCGCTCCGAGAATTGCAAACGTCGAGAGGAGAAAGCAGGGTTGCCAGACAAGCAGCAACGTCCAAGATGGCGGAATTTACCATTTTTCGCGTTTAAAAAATACTTAACCTATCGCAACAAATCTGATGGCTATGAAAAAGTAATCATTTATACATTTTGTAAATTATTCAAGCACCTTAATGGGCGTCTATAACCTGAGTCAGGAAAGAAAACGACCCTTTGCCCCATAGA